AAAATAGAGATTGCCACGGATCAGAGTCCCGAGTTCCAGCACAGAAAGATCATTAATACATACAATTGGCAATGATCAGTGAGCAACTTGTTAGGCCTCTGTGGGTCAGATCTGGCACATGGCTGCCACTTGAAATGCTGTGGTCTATAAAGATATGGATCTAACACAATATGCACAATGCACCTCAAATCAAGAAAAGGGTCCTAAATTACCTCAAAGTCATCACAGAGTCAATGACTCCCAGCAGGAAATATATTTTTTTTCATGCTTATCGGCTGTAAACTCTAGCAGAAAACTATGGTTAGTTAACCCATTTCTGCACTTTTGTTTGAGTATTTTAGTTTTGCATGTACACCCATTTTACCAATCTGGCTTACTTGTATGCATACTACTAGTTTCACGCCCCTCAGGCAGATGCACACCAACTTCAAAGAAACATTTTAAAAAACGACCTGATGTGATGAAAATAAAATATAAATGTAGAAATAAGATATAGTAAAAAATCACAACTTAAAATAAAGGCATTTACAACATAACAAAACATAGTGTGGACTTTTAAAACGTACCCTAAAATCACAAATTTAAATGTAGACTGATAGAACAAAACATCATCATCATCATGTAGCAGGTCATTTGCAGAATGTCGCTCTCATCAGGGTCTGCCTGAAAGAAACTCGGTCTCTCGCCATCTCTACGGCCTCACGCAATTTCATACACCTATCTTCATGTTGGTCAGCCCCTGCCCCTCCTTCCTGGTACCATGCCTTCTGCTATTATTTTGTCCAATCCGTCGTGGCGCTTGATATGACCAAAATATTTCAGCTTCCGAGACAGGATGCTATTTATTAGCCAATCTTCTTTGATGTTCAATTTTTTAAGATGTCAATATTTCTCCTCTTCTTTGTCCAATATATTCTGAGAATCTTTTTATAGCATTTCAGCTCAAAAGCCAACAAAACATAGCAACAACAAAAAAAAAGGGTGTGTCTGTTGTTAAATTAGTTACAAAATATAGCAACACAAAAATCTAATAAAATGGTGTGTCTGTTCTTAAATTAGTTACTTTTAAGAATAGACTATTAGTCACCATAGGACAGCATGTGGCTGGTCTTTGCAAAATATGTCATAGATTTTAATACATTCAGTAACTAACAAGCATAAAACATTCACTGGTTACACATTTTTATACCTTTATCTCCACTGGCCTTACATCAAAATGTTAAATTAATCTATTCAGTGCTGTAGCTTTTAAATCCTTTCCTCTTCAGTATTGTAAACTAATTCAGATCCAGATTTGTTTACTGCTTTAGTCCCAAGGAACGCATCATACTTTCATAGGTTCCGACACAAAAGCCCAATGAACGCATGGTGCGCCAATTTTATTACTTTCTTTACTACCCCCTGGGCCTTTGATGCTAAACACAAGAGTTAAAGTAACCATTGTTTAGCATAGCAAGGATTAAGCCCATTTTTTTTTGAAAATAGTACCTTCTAAAAATACTCTATAATTTGACAAAAGCAACACAAGGAACTATTCATTTTTGGGTCATCTTCTTCAATCAACCCCAGCATATTTTGGCTGATTGTGATTTGACTAGGCAATTTTATGTTCAGTAGTCTGCCAATGGTCAGCACTCCATCCCAGTGTAAGAATCAACACAAAGCAGTTTGTTGCCAAATCACCTGCAGCTGGAATTGAACAAAGTATTTTAGAATTACAAAGCGCATTTGCAAAGCCTAAGCCCCAGGCATGGAAAAACTGTTTATACAGTCTACTTTCTAGACACTCTTAGTCTTCTTCTTTGCGTTCACCGGCTGTAGCTCCTGCAAAAAGTTCTGGTTGTTTGTCCACTTTTGGACTCTAGTCCTGTTCCAGAAACCGACTGTTGTGTGCAAGTGTGATTCACAGGTCTGATTTTTGCTTACAGACTTTTGTTCCTTGCCTCTCAGGCAGATGTACTCAAAGGAAACTCCCAATTAGTCGACTCTTTCGACATGCTTGTCGGGGAGGCAGTGGGTCTATTCTTGTTTTTCCTACAATGGGGCCCTGGAACCCACACGGGGAACACTCGTAGCAACTGTCCACAATTTGTAACAAACTCAGTTACACTCATCTCCTTGAGAATAGACTCCTTTGGCAGTTAATCATTTGTCCTAATAGCCATACACGCCCGTGTGTCACCGGGGCCCTCACGGGAAGCAAAGAATAGTGACACTGCACCCTACCAGGCATGTCGTAAGAGACGACTAAGGGTAGGGTTGGGCTTGAGGTTGGCTACCTCATCCTGTAAAAACCATAGCCACAAAAACCAACCAACCATGGATAAGTCAAAAAGAGAAGCAAATAAAATCCAGCCAACCAAGATGAGGGGAGGCTCTTCAAATAGAAGAAGTATGACACGGTGTGGAGAAAGCCGTAAGGAGTCCGGATTGTTGACTTACCTCCTCTCAGCTAGGAAAACCTCCAGAATTGGCACCTGGAATGAACCCACAGGGGCATAGTAATAAAGGAAGGCCAAAAAACACATGGAGAAGAGAGCTGGAGAATGAGATTAGAAAGATTGGGAGGACATGGGGAGAGCTCCATGTAATGGCGAAGGATAGAATGACTTGGCGTGAGTTGGTTGAGGGCCTATGCTCCATTGGGGGATAGAAAGGCAGAAGAAGAAGAAGAATAGCCATACAACTATTTGACGTCACAGTAACGCAGTGTTTGAAGGCTGTGGGTTCCAGTCTACACTCTCAGATCAACTCATCTTGAATAGGTACCAGGAAATTTGTGTGGAAGTATAGGCAGCAGGTATAATATTGACCAGGTTGCCCAGCAAGTGCTGAATGGTCTATAAAACATGGGTCTAGCCACTAGCGTAGGAAGGGGGAGGGGGGGGGGTGTGCGTGTGTGTGTGTGTGTCTATGCATGTGTGAATGTTTATTTTTTGTGTACAGTTTGAAAAACATAACCCCACCCCCCCCCCCTCCCACTGTCCCTTTTTTTATCCAGACAGACTCAGCACAGACAGACAGACAGACAGACAGACAGACTAGACCAGACATATACAGACATACAGATAGAGAGAAAGAAGGAGGGGGGGGGGAAATTTTCCGCAACAGTTTCCATCTAACTTTGCTATGCCACCGGGTCTAACACCATATGCTTGATGTGCCAACAGCGTGAAAAGGATAATCCCCCCCCCCCCCCCCCCCCCCACAGTTGTTTGACATACCAGGAAATCAATCCACTGGCTGATTTCAGCCGCACTGTCACAGTAATGACAACATCCTCAGCACACTTGTTTCACTACCATTCCAGTAATGATATGAGGTGAGAGGGAAGAAGAAAGAATCAGGTGGTGTAAATGGTCCAAGCTGTTTGCATTGGGTTTCCAAAGGTTGTGGGTTTGTTTCAAGTGGCATTTGTTCAGTTCATTAGTGCAGTTTTTACAAATATGCCAGGGGATCTATAGAGTTTATGCTTTGTGCAACATACCCAGCAAAGAGAGATAGAGCCATATGAGATAAAACCCTGTGCTAATCAAGTCAATCCTCTCAACTTCAACTTCAGATCTATCATAAGTTGAGAAAATATATCAACATTATGGAGACTTTCAAGGAAAACTGCCTGGGAGATTTGAGCTTTTTTTCACAGTTGCAACTCCCCGTGTGGTTTCTGGGGCCCCATTGTGGGGGAAAAAAAGAATAGACCCACTGCCTCCCCAACAAACTTGTCATAGGAGTCAACTTATTTGGGGCTTACCTCAAAGTTGGAGTACATCTGCCTGAGTGGCAAGGAACAACCAACTGCACACACATAAGCCAGTAAAATGGATATACATGCAAAAATCAGGACCTGGCACAAAGCTAAAGTCCAAGTGGACTAACAACCAGGACTTACAGCTGGTGAACAAATTAGTAGAAAGAAAACTGTTGCAACAAGGCATACTTTTGGCAAGAATACACAACAAAGTACAATCGATAATGTCCCCAGAAAAATATAAGTGTAAATACAATTATGTACATATTTGTCAATGTATAAAACGCTCTTTTGTATAAGATGCACAAAAACTCAAAATGCCCTCGCCCCACTCTTTGAACATTTCTTCACGTTAAGCTCACAGGCTAATGTTAATGTATATGTATTATTGTTGTTGAAATGCAATGACATTTCTGTGATTTTCTTGCACCCATTTTAATAGATCAGCTCTAATTTCGACAATTTAAAACATGTTCCAGGTTGTGCACACACTTTCACTTGCACAAAACATGCCAAATTTTCTGCTAACCTATTGCTGTGTTCTTTTGCATGTTTTATTATCTGGAATTCCATATGGGAATTGTGATCACATAGACAGACTTATGAAGTATCAGCCCAGAACTGTTAACACACTAACGTCTTATGTGCAGCTGTAACATACTAACTGAAAATACTGACTGACGTAATAAGCAATACAAAGAGATAGTGATGCCAATAAGCAATGGGGGATTTAAAATTAACTCTCAGTGTGTCTCTCTCTGTCTCTCTGTCTCTCACCGGCACATAAACAGTGAAAACAAAAGAGCTGATGCAAATACCACTCTGGAGAGATGAAATGAGATACTTCTACCTACAAAGACCTCAGGGGTTCCACAGCTGGTCACTTCCCATGTGATACTATTCTCCTCTCTGTCTCATTCACAGATTGCATCGTTTTCATTTGAACGTGGAGCACTTGAAAATCTTGGAAGGAAAAAATTAGAGCGCGGGTAACTATGAAAAAAAAAATGGTACACATAAGCCTCCTTTACTTTTTTGTTGTATAAAATGCAGCCTAATTTTAAGGTCTATTTTTAGAATAAAAAAAGTGTGTCTTATACATTAACAAATATGGTACTTAAGATTTAACAACACTCTGGCAGATAAGCCATAATTGTTCAATAGTTAGCTGAATAGTAGAAAGTGCAGAGACAAAAATTATTTACATGAAATAAATTAAAACTGTGTGTTTGCAGTAACTTTAGGGTTTTCATCTTAAAGCCTTGACCTCATCTATCTCACACACGGTAATGTTTCTCTTTAGTTCCAGGCTTTCACCATTTCTAGCAGCTTGCTTTTCATCCTCTCTGAATGAACACATGAGAAAGACAAGAAACCAGTTAATTATGGATACAAGATTGAAAAAAAAAAAAAAGACAAATACATAAACACTGCAAGAAAGTCAACCAGAAATCAACCCAAATAATTCCTCAGAATAACTGTAGGGCCAGTCATGAAGTTAGATATAAGGCAACGCGACATGTTACAATAGGACGTTTTGTCTATGGACTCAGTAATGTATTATGGCATCTACCATTAACATAATAACATGATGGCCCTATTCTACTTGTTACCCCATGCAATATGTCACTTTTAAGTCTTTGCTGACTGACTGGACAGGCCTCAGACATGCAGCCATGAAGTCCATCGCAAGTGACCACCAAAGGTGGAGAGAGCTGATCAGACAGTCAACAGAAACTGGTGACCCAAAGACACGTAGTGTTACGGGATGATGATGATGATGAAATCTTTTTACCACCACCATGATGATCCTATTTAATCTTATCACCCCCACCACAATCCTATTCAAACCTCATTATCAATATCACAATGATCCTATTAAATCTCATTACTACAACCACCATAAGACTATAATTTTCCTATTCGACCTCATTATCACGACTACTACCATGATCTTATACATGTACAGCCTCATTACCATGACCACAGTACTTCTCAACCGTATTCAACAACTCTCCCTTCCCTCATGGTAATTGGTCAGTATAAATACTACACCATTAGTCATTATGACTAGCATATTCAACCTTATTACACCTACCACCCCCTAATCATGATCCTATTTTTTTTATCGTTACAACCAACAACTGAAGATGAGATTACTGGAGGATGAAGAAGAAGAGGGAAGATTGAGTTAGAGGAAATAGATTAAAAGAAAGAAAATTTAGAGGAAGAAGAAGCAGAGGAAGTGGTGGAGCAGTAGAAAAAGATTAAAGTGAAAAAGAAAATTTACAGAATTTGACACAATAATGAGTAAATAAATACAGAAATAATAAACAGCTTACAGAAGCTTTGAGGCAACATTGTAATCTTTCTCTAAGCTAAATGCGGACAGCTTCGCTGCTGTAGAACTCTCTAAATCATCGCTATCATGGATCCTCATTCGAGATATTTTTCCATCAGCTGAAACCAAAAACAAGAATACAAGTATATGCAGAAGAATGCTTGTCTAGGCGGTTAAAATGAAAGAAGTAAATTTAGCAATGTTTTAAAAAGATTTGTGTTTGTTTCATATCCAGGCAGTTATTATTACTTGCTCTTATCCCCGTCCCAATGTAGGATGCAAGTGTTTGTTATATTGAGACCCCACACCCAGCCCAGCTGTCATAAGGGGCCTTAAATATAACCTACGGGCTAAACGGGGTTTCTGGAACTTGTACCCGGGTGATTCTCATCAGAGTGGTGGCACTTTGTGTCACCCTGTGTTATTTCTCATTGTGCGGTCCTGGTGGGGTTGAATGTCACTCACTTGCTATCAGAAAAAAAAATTAAAAAAATAAAAACCTATCTTTCATGAGTTTGATAGTTTTTCTAAATTTTTCTATAGATTGTTTCTCACAGTCAACAGGCGCTACTTCTGCAAGTTGGATATTTTGAGGATTTTAAGGACTAGTCTTATCAGAAGTTTCTCTAAGTATTCAGCCCATCTGTTCATTTGATGTTTAAAGTTAGTAAGAACTTTCTCATTACTAAATAGTCCAACAATTAAATAATGAAACTAATTTTATTATGAGTTAGAACTTTCTCATTACTAAACAAATTTTGAAATTAAATCATTTTATTATGGCCAAAATAAAAATGTTATCAATGAAGCAAAGCGTGTTGTTGTGTTGTTACATATACTGCATAGATGAAGCTCAATGAAGCAAAGCGTGTTGTTGTGTTGTTACAAATACTGCATAGAGCTAAGGGTGACAATTAACTCTGTTCCAGACTTGAAAAGTGTTCTTTTAACAGCAGAACTCATGAGATCAGTTTGTGCAGATCATTGCTTATCTTGTACATGCAGTGATATTTATGAATTCAAGACTGTTTTGGAAAAGACAAAAGATGAAGCTTGGTCTGAACATCCAATTTCTGTTACAATTTTGCAAGATCCTAGATCAGCGGTTCTCAACCTGAGGGTAGCAACACTTTTATGGGCCAAATGACCCTTTCACAGGAGTCGCCAAAGACCATAGGAAAACACTTATTCACTGAAGTTATGAAGTAGCAATAAAAATAATTGTATGGTTGGGGGTCGCCAGAACATAAGAAACTGTATCAAAGGGTCACGGCATTAGGAAGGTTGAGAACCACTGCCCTAGATGAATAGTTCCTGCTTGAATAACATGAATCGCATTTTTATTTTGGCCACAGTAAAATCAGTCTCAATATTTCATTGTCAGACTGTGTATTTTAAATGTGCACGTGATTGATTATATTTTCCTTGTTGTGCTGTAAGGATCACTAATGATTCCTTCTGTTATTTCTACTATCTCTCACACTAGGCATTCTGAATATCTTATTCACTAGGCATTCTGAATATCTTATTAACGCTCATCTGCTTCCATTACTGCGTTCTCCATATTTTTAAAAGAAGTCTGAAAAAAGACTTGCTTTAGCAATGCAGAGGCTAAGCAGCATGAAGAACCTATGGCAAAGCACCTGCAAGCAAGTAAAAATGAAAGTTTTGTGATCATGAAACTTTCCCATGGCAACTTATGAATGTGAGTCGTTTACCCTGACTCAGTCTTAGAAAAAGAAAATCAGAGCTTTTTCAACTGAAATGCTGCAGAAGGGTTCTTAGAATACCGTGGATCAAAAAGAAACAAAAACGCTGACGTCCTGCATAGACTGAACATCATGGAGAACTGGCTAATAAACAGCATCCTCTCTCTAAAAGCTGAGTTATTTTGGAAATGTCAAGCGCCATGGTGGTCTGGAGAGTATGGTGATGGAGGGTAGTTTCCAGTGAGGCAGAGGCCGACCTTTGTGAAAGTGTATACAGGACACTCAAGATACACTGGCTATGATGAGGGCTGGAATTTAGAGAAAGAGGTGCATGCCATATAGAGCATTCCTAGACATGCTGATTGATGATGATAACTCTGCTATTACTGAAATTTTATTTTTTAAATTTAATCTTTCTTCTACTTAGAATTTTTTGTTTTTTTTTATTAAAGAGTTTTTAACTATCAATACTTCCTGTTTTGTCATTTTTAAATGACTTCTTAGCACAGTATCTTCTTCATCCTCTTCTTCTTTACGATCGGTTTCATATGCTCGGGCCAGACCATCAGGTGAGTTGCCTCTATGAATTCGCATGTCAGCTGCAGGTCCTGCATGGTTCCCCTTGGCTTGCTCTGCACACTTTGCTCTTGAAGCCAGGTTTCTTTTTGAAGGTGTGAGTAGAGTGGGCAGGTGTGTTTAAAAAATTTCACATTTTGTTCTATTTTTTTTTTTTATTAAAGAGTTTTTAACATTATCAATACTTCCTGTTTTCTTTCTCATGGTTTGAATGACTTCTGTGGGTTGTGGGTTATAGCACAATATAACTCTTACCAACTGGAAAGACAGAGAGGTGCCAACGACAACAATAACAATACACACACACCTATACCTGTCAGTCGATTGGTGTTTGATGCCAGCTCCCACTCCAGCTGCTCCAGTGCCTGACTGTCTTCCATATTTTGTTCAGCAGAAACATCCAAACTGTCATAGCAACTCAAGTCATCTCCATCTATCACTAGAAGCAAACAAACCATGTTTTTAGCTTGTTAATCATATGTGTGGATCAAAATCACTGCACACACAAGAACGAGGCTAGATCAGGGGTTCTCAATCCCTCGGTCGTGACCCTTTTGTGGGTTGAATGACCCTTTCACAGGGGGCTCCAAAGACCATAGGAAAATACATATTCACTGAAGCAGGAATGAACCTCAATGGCTCAGAATGATAACAAACAAGAAGAAGAAGAGAAATAACACTTTCCTTTATAATATAAGATATGCAGGTGATACAGAACTGATGGACCTAAAATACACAGAAAAAAAGAAGATTATATGGGAAGAAAATGGTAAGAGATAAACTGACTGAGTGCCTCTACTCCATTAGGGGATACAACATCAACATCATCATCATGTAGCAGGTCTTCTGCAGAACGTTGCTTTCATCAGTCTGCCTGAAAGAAACTCGGTCTCTCGCCAGCTCTCCAGCCTCACGTACTTTCATACTCAAGGATTCACTTATATCCTGTGCCAATCTTTGTGTTGGTCGGCTCCTACCCTTCCTTCCTGATACCATACCTTCTGCTATTATTTTTTCCAATCCGTCGTGGCGCTTGATATGGCCAAAATATTTCAGCTTCTGAGACAGGATGCTGTTTATTAGCCGATCTTCCTTGATCTTCAAATCTTTCAAGATGTCAGTATTTCTCTTCTTTGTCCAAGATATTCTGAGAATCTTTCTATAGCATTTCATCTCAAAAGCTTCTATTCTCTGTCTTAAGGACAAACTGTCATAGCAACTCAAGTCATCTCCATCTATCACTAGAAGCAAACAAACCATGTTTTTAGCTTGTTAATCATATGTGTGGATCAAAATCACTGCACACACAAGAACGAGGCTAGATCAGGGGTTCTCAATCCCTCGGTCGTGACCCTTTTGTGGGTTGAATGACCCTTTCACAGGGGGCTCCAAAGACCATAGGAAAATACATATTCACTGAAGCAGGAATGAACCTCAATGGCTCAGAATGATAACAAACAAGAAGAAGAAGAGAAATAACACTTTCCTTTATAATATAAGATATGCAGGTGATACAGAACTGATGGACCTAAAATACACAGAAAAAAAGAAGATTATATGGGAAGAAAATGGTAAGAGATAAACTGACTGAGTGCCTCTACTCCATTAGGGGATACAACATCAACATCATCATCATGTAGCAGGTCTTCTGCAGAACGTTGCTTTCATCAGTCTGCCTGAAAGAAACTCGGTCTCTCGCCAGCTCTCCAGCCTCATGTACTTTCATACTCAAGGATTCACTTATATCCTGTGCCAATCTTTGTGTTGGTCGGCTCCTACCCCTCCTTCCTGATACCATGCCTTCTGCTATTATTTTTTCCAATCCGTCGTGGCGATTGATATGACCAAAATATTTCAGCTTCTGAGACAGGATGCTGTTTATTAGCCGATCTTCCTTGATCTTCAAATCTTTCAAGATGTCAGTATTTCTCTTCTTTGTCCAAGATATTCTGAGAATCTTTCTATAGCATTTCATCTCAAAAGCTTCTATTCTCTGTCTTAAGGACTGGGAGATAGTCCACGACTCACATCCGTATGTTGCTACAGGGAAGATGCAAAATTATAATTAAAACGTAAAAGTCAAAATTGAAAAATACAATTTAAACCAGTAAGGCTATCTCAGTTTCAAGTGACTTATTGTGATCTTGCAGTTCAAAGAATATGAAGAACATTAAATGGGATGAATTCAAGAGGGGTGAAGAAAGAAATAAGAGAAAATCTTGGCAACCAACAGTTATAAAGACACCAAAGATGGCGCTATATCTGACACATTCTGAGTAGAGATGAACTGAGAATCACCAAACAGGCACTGAAGTGGGAAACTAAGAGACTGAAGAAATGAGAATGTCCCAGAGAAACCCTAAAGCAAACACTGAAGAGAAGAAACCAAAGTTGTTGCACTGGATTCCATCCATGATATCAAAGTAATTGCCTGGGATAGGATGGAATGGAGATATAGATTGCAAGCTCTATGTGACATATAATAGCACAATGTAAGTAAGTAAAGGGCCCTTTTCTACGCCTTTAGGCGTATAGGACATAGGGGCTAGACCTATATTTTATAGACCAATCGACACAAGATGGGTGATGTGGTCAGCATCACACCGGCCACCTTTACTTCCCAGGACGGCAACCAGTACCCACTCAAGGCTGGGTGGACCTGGGAGCCAAGGTCATTTTTGAAAAAAGTCTGGTTCCGCCAGGAAGCGAACCCACAACATTCCGATCCGCGGCAAGCATCTAGCCAAATGGGACAATGAATTAATGAATGAATGTATAAAATAATCCATGGAGATTTGTGTTCAAGAAATTTTACTGTTTTGTTATTCTAACTTAGCAAATGATAAATATTTGCCTAATTGTTATATCCACACTAATATATGCCCATGAATATGTTATTCTGAAATCAGTAAGAATTCATCAACTGGCTTTATTTAAGATCAAATTTATTTTTCCTAAACAAATTTTTATGCTAGTAATAATTACATTATCAATAGATCATTCTTTAATATTTGATAATCATTCAAATCATGAACTCCACAACATGGGTTCTGGGGCCCCACTGTGAGGGGAAAAGGAACATACCTATTGCCTCTAACAGCCCCACTGTGAGGGAGAAAGGAACATACCTATTGCCCCTAACAGCCCCACTGTGAGTGGAAAAGGAACATATCTTTTGCCCCTAATAGCTCCACTGTGAGGGGAAAAGAAACATACCTATTGCCCCTAATAGCCCCACTGTGAGTGGAAAAGGAACATACCTATTGCCCCTAATAGCCCCACTGTGAGAGAGAAAGGAACATACCTATTGCCTCTAATAGCCCCACTGTGAGGGGAAAAGGAACATACCTATTGCCCCTAATAGCCCCACTGTGAGGGAGACAGGAACATACCTATTGCCCCTAATAGCCCCACTGTGAGGGGAAAAGGAACATACCTTTTGCCTCCAAAAGCCCCACTGCAAGGGGGAAAAGGAACATACCTATTGCCTCCAATAGCCCCACTGTGAGGGAGACAGGAACATACCTATTGCCCCTAATAGCCCCACTGTGAGGGGAAAAGGAAAATACCTTTTGCCTCCAATAGCCCTACTGTGAGGGGGAAAGAACATACCTATTGCCTCCAATAGCCCCACTCTGAGGGGGAAAAGGAACATACCTATTGCCTCCAATAGCCCCACTGTGAGGGGAAAAAGGAACATACCTATTGCCTCCAATAGCCTTACTGTGAGGGGGAAAAGGAACATACCTATTGCCTCCAATAGCCCCACTGTGAGTGGGGAAAAAGGAACATACCTATTGCCTCCAATAGCCCCACTGTGAGGGGAAAAAGGAACATACCTATTGCTCCCAATAAACATGTCACAAAAGGTGACAATGGAAAGTTTGCTAAAACTGGATGTGCCAGACCAAAAGGTGGAGACATCACAGCCTAGCTGTAAGTTAAACATTTCTGTCCTAATTGTAAATTCAAATACTGTAGTCCCAGTATTACTATTAACGTCTTACGACTGTGCTTGTTATTTTATTGGAGCTACTGTCTGTCAGGTCCCAGATACTGCTGGTATTTACAGTTAGGCACATTATGAGGTATGGCAGGCAAGGAATATCAAAACAGGCATTTAAATGAGAATCAAATCAATAGAAGATACAATAATGTCCAAGAGACAAATGAGAATGGCCAGAGAGACCTGACTGGATTTCCTACACAATATTAACAGATCTGCACAGGAGAGAAGATAAATGAGAAATCTACTGCAAGTTTTATGCGATATACACAAGAGGATGACGATGGATTGTCTAAGATAGACAAAGGTAATATTGCAAATTCAAAAAAAAAAATGTTTAAGTTTTTCTTACCAACTGCTCTGGATGTTCTTCCACTCCTCTGACTCACAGCTGAGGCTGTGCGATGGCTAGGTAATCTAGAGGCTGTCTTGCCATCTCCTTTAGCAGGTGTCTTGCCATCTCCTTTAGCAGGCATCTTGCCATCTCCTTTAGCAGGTGTCACTTCAGTATGTAAGCAGCCGGATTTTGAGCTTATGCTTGTGCTACTAAAAGGCCGAACATCTGTCTCCCAGACTTCACTTTTCTTCACATTTGAAATAGGAATTTCTGTGTTTTGCACCAACAAACATCTGGCCGTCAGATGATCCCCATCATCATAATCATAACTGAATTCACTTTCGCAGTTGATCCAACCATCCTCCTGGACCCTGGACTTCAGCATATCAGAAACAACAGTATCTCTGCCAGATTTTGGAGAAAGTTGCTGCATTCCTCGAGGTTCTGTACCACCTGATAAAAGTTATCAAAAACACGACAGTAATTAAAAAATTTATATAGAAATTTGTTTGCTAAAAATTACATTAAACAACCAAAATGAATTATATCATTAATTTTAAAAAGGGTTTCTCCGTGTGGGTTCAGGGACTCCATTTTGGAGAACAAACCCCCCCCCCCCCCCCCCCCCCCCCCCAACACACATGCTGTAAAAGGCAACTAATAAGGGATGTTTCCTTCAAAGTCAGACTGCCTCTGAATGAGAGGTAAGGAACCAGCAGTCTGCATACAAATAAGCCAGATCTGTAAAACAGATATGCAGGCTAAACTCAAGTTCTAGATCAAGACCGAAGTCCAGGAGTGGATGAACAACCAGAACTTTCTGCCACAGATTACAGTTGTTGAAAACTAAGAAGAAGAAGAGAGTGGCTAAGACAAGATAGAAAAACTTATCAAAAACATCCAATGAAAGTACACTGTAACACATTCCATGCATCAACAGATAAGTATATTAACATCATCATCATGTAGCAGGTCCTTTGCAGAACGTCGCTCTCATCACAGTCTGCCTGATATAATAGTGGGTAAACTGATAATGATGTTTTAAAATCTGTAATTATTGCTCTGCTGGCACTTTAAAACGTGAGGACTATCGCACCATAAGTTTATGAGTCAAGTGACAAAAATGTCACTGAGGTTAATTATGATTTGATTTTGATTTGATTTGATTCAAGAACCGACATCACAGCACTCAAGGCATTCCCATAAGCGCTCTGTCCCCATCTTCAGCAGGTTAATTATGAGAAGAATAAGAAACAAGATTAAACCAACAAGAAGAACCCCACAGGGCAGCATGTACAGCAGGGGTCCACTGATCATCAGTAGAAAGATCCCTCGTTGATGACTGTTTCAACCCGTTACCATTTCTATACAATCACGAAAGGTGGGCCGACCTGGGTCATGACTCCCAGGCCTCGATCTTCCCCTGCTGCACTTACTAGATGTTTAATTAGTGAAAAACTGTGGATTTGTAAAAGGAAAAGGTACAAACAATGCCTGTCAGAAAGAGCTATAGAGGTGAAAAATGATCTTTACTTATGCTTCACTGACTATACAAAAGCATTTGTGTGAAAGATACAGAAATAATCATACTACTGAATTATAAAGAACATGTATTGGCAGCAAACAACAACCAACATAACCATTTGGGAACATTTTAGAGCATAAACATAAGAGTGTGACAAAGATATGTACTATCACCTGAGTTGTTTTCATTATACAGTGTACATATAATGAGATCTATCTTGGATATGCCAGGAAGTGTGGATGGTGGTCACAACACAAGCAACCTACGTTTTGCTGATGACACCGTCTTGATAGTGACAAGTCATAAATAACTATAGGATAGATATGGTAGACACTTGGTGGAAAGTTATAAAATGGGTCTCAGTATGAATAACTGGAAGACAAAAATAATTGTGATTTCCAAGAAAAGTATAGTGTAAATGTTTAATAAAAGTCAAAGACATTATTTTAAGAAAAGTACAGAAATTAAAGTACTTAGGCTTATGGGTAACATCTGCAGGAAGATGCATCACAGAGATAAAGAACAGAATAGGACAGGTCAAATTTGCATTTTATAAAATGAAGAACATTTCATGCAATAATTCCACATCATTTGAGGTTAGGAAAAGAATTATCGCATGCTATACAGAGCCAGTTTTAACATACGGCTGCACATCCCAGACAATAAATAAACAAGCCAAACAATATCTTGAGGCCACAGAGGTGTGGTTTTACAAAAAAATCCTTAGAATTTCTGGGGCAGCTAAGAATAGCAACCCAGATACAGGTGCATGCTTCAAGACAATTTATCAGAAATATCGAAAAGAGACGGTCATTATTTTTGGTCATGTTATGAGAAGAGGTAAAATGGAACATGCTGTGACCACTGGAAAGATTTGTGAAAAGAGAGACAGAGGAAGACAGTGTGAGAAGATTCTTGACAGCCTATTTAGGTATGGAGGGATGTCAACATATGAAATGATAAATGCAGTTGTGGATTACAGCTTGTGGAGAGGCATGATCATCCCCGCCAGTCGGCAAGGCACTCGATGACGATAATGACACTGTAACAACTGGAAAGATTGATGAAAATAAAGACAAGAGATGAAAATGACAAAACATTAAGCATCCTTATATTATGGCTTGGAATAATAGCACATGAACGGATACAATCTACAGTGGACTGCACTATAAGTCAATAGTTAGTCGAAGTTTCAACTTCACTGTAGATGGGTTTCCTCATAACTGCTCCATTCCTATGCCAGTGCAAATCAAACTAAATGTTCCTTGCTGTCCCGTTTAAAAAACTAGTGAAAAACATATCAGTCCCAACAAAATCTCGAAGCTCGCATATGCAAAGTAAATGTAGAAGGCAGCTCTCAGATGTAGCAACACTAAGAGTCTCCCACCAGAATTTCAGCCCTCTGTTGATGCAAGCAGTCAGTCATGAAAGCAATAATGAATAAGCACACAATATTCTCAAATTAGTCAGCCACCTGCCAGTTTTATTGCAGTTCACAACACAAAACAGCACTAGGCACAACAGAAGAAAAAAAAAACACCATCCAAAAAGACCACAGCTCACACTGCCCAGATACTGAGTTGAATGGTTAAATGCACTAACCATTCAACTCAGCAGCTGGGCAATGGAACCATTCGACTCCCAATCCAGAAATGGGGAATTTGCATCAGCAACCATGGCTAGAAACAAATAACTTTTTAAAGCAACCGAGCCAGCTGGCCTACCCACCCGATTGGACAGGAAGTGGAAAAGCTGTGAAGTTATGCCTCTAGCCTGATACTGATCACAACATACTGACTGCTGATGGCATATACACCACATACCCAACAGACCTTATGGTCTGGAAAAGAATTTGTGTTTTATTTTGTTTTGTTGTTTTAGGTATAATACAAAAAGGTGAAAAGAATAATTTTGTTGTTAATATAAATACAAACAGGTAAAAAAAATCTTTTTTTGCGTTGTTGTTGGTATAATGCAAAAAAGAGTTTAAAGAGGTTTATTTTGTTGTTGGTATAATTAAAAAAAAAGGTTTAAAAATACTATAAGTAAAAAGAATCTTTTTTTATTTTTTGTTGTTGATACAAATTCAAAAAGGTAAAAAGAATCTTTTTTTCTTTTTTTGTTTTGTTTAATTTGTGTTTGGTTGTTGTTGGTCTAAATAAATATAAGTAAAAAAATTAAAAAAAAAATATGTGCTGTTGTTGTTGGTATAAAATAAAAAAAAATAAAAAGAATCTTTGTTGTTGGCATAAATATAAAAAGGTAAAAAGAATCTTTCTTGTTGCTGGTATAAATACAAAAATGTAAAAAGGATTTTTTTTGTGTATAATAAAAAAAAAAAAAGGTAAAGGACCTTCTACACAACACTCACACACCGAGCATATGCTACTACACCTATATTTGTATAGACCAATCAGAATCTGCAGGTTGATGTGGTCAGCATCAGACCATCCACCTTTACTTCCCAGGACTGCATCTGGCTCCCATTCATGGCTGGGTTGACCTGGAAGCCAAGGTCATTTCTGGGAGTCAAGATCAATGACAAAAGTGCGCCCTGTAATATCCGCTAGTCAGTGACAAGTTTGTCTACCAAGTAGAGAAAACTGCAAGCATTTAATGTGTCCTGTTATCAGTGGAAGGCTAAGGATGGAAATATACATCAAGACAGCAACTGGCCATGGCAGATATATACATCATAACAAGGGTTAAAATCATAATTACCTGAGGAACTGTTTGGTCTCTGTGTCCTGGTAGATTTCTTAGTTCGGCCACTCTCAACCTGTGTAGACAGGGTAACTGAACTGTTAGGACGTCTGTCTGGTTTTGAGTCCACCTTCTCATCCCTCAACATTTTATTAAAGTTTCTTCTGAAATCACTCACTTCCTGTTTTTCTAACGAAGTTTGGGTCCTAGATCTTGGTGTAGTTTTGACTTCATTTCCCTGGCCAACAATTGTGTTTGTTTTCACTGGTGACTTATTTGGCTTGACTCTTGAAAAATGTGACTTTGATGATTTTAATGATGATGATTTATTCAAGGAATGTGCAGTTTCAGAGAAGTCAGTACTATTTCTAAATAATTGTTCTTTATCTTTTAATGTTTTTGATTTATTCAAATTCTGTTCCAAGTTTTCAAAACGTCTCTGTTCACCTTCAGGAACATGATGATGATGTTTTGATTGTCCCCGAGTGGACATGCTGATCTCAGGGTCCAATCGATTTGCTGATGTAGAATTTGGCGGCACTGGTGATATTTTTAGCTCCTTAAGTATATCACTTCTGCCAAGTGGTGTGGTAATGTTATGAAATCTACGACCACCATAAACCTTGGTGATCTGCGGTGGGTGATCTTCACTAGCATCTCTAGAGGGCCCTAAATAAATATATCCCTGTCTATGCTGTGAAAATGGCTCAGCTGGTGCTCTTTGTGAGACTGAACTTGCTGCTGCTGTTGCTTCTGCTATAAACAGTTCATCCCCAAACAAAAGGCCCAATTCCTGAGCATGATCCTCATCTGGTGTGTCCTTTCTGGGAAAAGAAACAGATAAGAGTAAAGAAAACAATGTATTTTCACCATTTTTTAATAAATTATAAAAGAAAACAATCAGTTTTTATCATTTTGTAATAAATTATATCAGAACAAAATGGCTGTTACACAAACACTTTCTATCACACAGTTTGTTTTACTTAACAGTGGTAACATTTTAGTCTTTATGGGTTAAAATTAAACAATTATGGAACACAATGAGTGAAACCAGTCATACAATTCATTAAAGAACAACAAATTAGATAGTTTGGCCACCTGACGAGAATGCCCTGGCACCATCAGGAACAACCTAACAGAAATGCACCAACACATACAATGCATTGGAAAAAGCGCACAAACGATCCTTACATCTTCACTCAGCACCTCACTGAGGTAAATGGTGGAAGAGAAGAAGAAGCATGGGACACAATGAGTGAAACTAACAACAGGGATGATCAATCTAAACCCAATTATTGCAAATCCACATCAATATTAACATCCTGTGTTCACAGAGATAATCACCCTCATCCAACATAACGACTGTTCAATTTTTTTTAGTCCCTGTGCAAATTCCAAAACCCCACTGGAAAAGGGGGGGGGGGGGGGGGGGGGGAGAGTTGACCCCCTGTTCTCTCATAAGACGGAAAAAAAGAGGCAAATAACAAGGTTCTGCTGAAAGGTAAAGATACTGCGGCCTTGCTGTAAACCACAACACCACAATAATCCTTTTAAAGGTAACAGATAAAACTTTCAGACAAAAAATGTGTGTTTTGGTGTTATAACATCTGGACTGTCTTTCAGTGTTATAGCATTTGGACTGTCTTTTAGTTTTATAACAGCTGTACTGTCTTTTAGTTTTATAACAGCTGTACTGTCTTTTAGTTTTATAACAGCTGTACTGTCTTTTAGTTTTATAATAGCTGTACTGTCTTTTAGTTTTATAATAGCTGTACTGTCTTTTAGTTTTATAATAGCTGTACTGTCTTTTAGTTTTATAACAGCTGTACTGTCTTTTAGTTTTATAATAGCTGTACTGTCTTTTAGTTTTATAATAGCTGTACTGTCTTTTAGTTTTATAATAGCTGTACTGTCTTTTAGTTTTATAATAGCTGTACTGTCTTTTAGTTTTATAACAGCTGTACTGTCTTTTAGTTTTATAACAGCTGTACTGTCTTTTAGTTTTATAATAGCTGTACTGTCTTTTAGTTTTATAACAGCTGTACTGTCTTTTAGTGTTAGCATTTGGACTGTCTTTTAGTGTTTACATTTGAATTGTCTTTTATGTGTTATAATATCTGAACTGACTTTTAGTATTGTAACATCGGGACTGTCTTTTTGTGTTAATATTTGGACTGACTTTAGTGTTAAAATTTGGACTATCTCTTAGTGTTAACAACTGGACTGTCTTTCTATTAGTGTTATAACATTTGGACTGTCTATTAGTGTTATAACATTTGGACTGTCTATTAGTGTTTTAACATTTGGACTGTCTATTAGTGTTATAACATTTGGAATGTCTTTTAGTGTTTAACATTTGATTTGCTTTTTTTTGTGTGTTATAATATCTGAACTGACTTTTAGTACTGTAACATCAGGACTTTGTTTTTGTGTTAATATTTGGAATAACTTATGTGTTACAATTTGGACTATCTCTTAGTTTAACATTTGGACTGACTTTTAATGTTAACATTTGAATTGCCTTTTTTATGTTATAATATTTGAACTGACTTTTAGCACTGTAAAATAGTTTTTAAAGATGTGAAATATAATACTCACTCAGTATGACTAGACGATGAGTGCCAATCAAGACCTCCCTGACCACTGATCTGTTTACTATAGGAAAATGACAGTGTTGTTTCTCCTTGCTGTCTGTCAAGTGTGACTTCATTCAGAGGCACTGCAGAACTGAGGCTGGTTTCAGGATGCCAAGATCGTGGTGCCATCTGGTACACTGTTGATGGTAGACAGTTAAGTCAAATTCTGTTATTACATAACACACATGATGTAAGTGAAAGATCAAACTGTGATAACTGTTAGGATAACTACCATACCCACGGATACTGAATGAGACCCATTGGGTCAAATTAGCTCATAATGTATGAGTGTTTGTCATTGTATAAACTCATCCCCAGTATTCACATTCATTGTAATGTGAAACTTTGTAGCTTCTTCTTCTTCTTTTCCACCCTGTACCTCAGCAAAGTGTCAGGGAAATGGAGGGAGGGGGGGGGGGGGAGATGAATCATTCGTTGATGAGCTCTGGCAAGGGCGCTATTAGGATTTATGTTCATTTCTGTAAGGCTGTTCTTAATGCCATCACTCCATATTTTCTGAGGTCTTCCACTCGCTTTATAATCTTTGTAACGTTTTAGTGTGGCTTGCTGTGGCAGATAGTACTAGGGCATTCTTGTTAGGCGTCTAAACCCCTTCATTTGTTGTTCTTTGATGACTTGTTAGACTGGCTTTATTCATAGCATTCGTCTGATTTCGTGATTTTGTATTGTCTTTCCTTGAAACTCCTGCAGCTCTTCTAAGGCATTTCTCTTTGTAGCTAAGGTTGTAATATCTGCTGAGGTATAATTGTGTGTTTGAAACATGAAACCACCTACAGGCAGTGAGAAAGTAAAAGTGATAATCATTTACATATTTGAACAAAGAAGACATAAACAATAGTTTGCACAATTTATTGCCTGGCATATGTCATCTATATCTTGTCAGGCGCATACTACAGTAACAATTACATAAATGAAGCAAATAAGTGAATCCTTTATAACTGAAGTACAAGTTTTAACAATGATCAAACATAACTGCCTGTTTTTTACCAGGGCAGCCGTAAAGACAGAACCATCTCTTTCTGTATACAGAGTTCCGGGCGCAGGTGACGAATCGCAAGAGCTTCGAGAAATCTTACATATTTGATAATGCCCCTTTCTGGATGATAAGATGGATATCATGATGAATGTGTAACTGAGATCTTTGAGTGAACCAGACCTGTGACAAGCAGCAGGGGGAGAAACAACTTGCAATCTACTGTTTGATGGGTTTTTTATTAGTGAAAGGATGAAACCTACAGAAGTTCATCTGTGAATAAAGGTCTAATAAAGTGATGCATGATTGTCAGTCCAGCAAGTGTATGAGTGGAGTAGGAAGAATCAAATTGGTGTACCTTCTGTGACTGTTCAGATCAGACATCAAATAGTGACCCCAGAACTGACTGCAGCCGCTGAAGACCTTGTACAGGAAAACCACAGATTAACTAGGAGTGACACTGCTGCACATCTTGACATCAGTCAAGGTTCAGCCCACAACACCCTCCATGATGTGCTACAGTACCATAAGGTATTTGCAAGGTGGGTGCCACAGCAGTTTATTCCAGAATTGAAATAATGATGCAGTGATGCTTGCCAAGAACATTTGTGGTGCTTTGAAGCAGAAAGTGATGGTTTCCTACCATGAGCTGGAAATGACAAGAGAAAACAAGGAATGGCGCCATTTCTCCTCATCAAAACTAAAGAAGTTTCACACACAGCCATCTGCAGAGAAGATTATGCCGATTCATTTGGAATAATGAGGTGTTATTTTACAGCACTGCCTGCCAAGAGAGAAAACTGTCAACAGTTATATGTATATATATCTTTTCAGGAACTGCATTTGACCGCAATCAAATCCAAATGACATGAACTTCTTACTAAAGGTATCCTGTTGCAATACAACAAGGCTTGACCCTATACTCCCTGTGCATGGAGTGAAACCATCGAAGATCTCCCCTTTGTGTGCACTACGTTCAATGTTGAATCAGGAATCAACATCACAGCATTCGGGACACTCCAATAAGTGCCCAGTACCCATCTTCAGCAGCAAGTGAAGAGTTCCAATTCTGATGGTACCAGTAACCGTCTGATTGTATATCCATCTCATCCTTCCCCTGAGTGAGGAGTGGCAGCCAGATCCCCTGGTAACTCCTCGCAGCACCATTCTCTTTAGACCGTAATGATCCATCTACGCCTCCTCACTGTTCACCTGTTCCCATTGGCCCCTCACAATATCTAGCTTGTCATACATCAATTCACCACCAAGGGTGCGGATCCAGCCAGTCTATCTGTCTGCTCATTTCACAACACACCGGCATAACCGGTGGCATGCTTTATACCATCTTCAGTGTGCACTAAATCCCCTGTACTCACCAGAACTAGCCCCAGGTGATTCTACTTTTTTTTGGACAACTCTAAGAGTCATTGGGAGGAAAGACTCTTCTGTCCAAACTCTAAGAGTCACTGGGAGGAACGACTCTTTTGTCCGATAAGAAGAGGTACAGCAGGCTGCGTATGGTTAGCTACACATCTGACCAAGAGAATTTTTTCTACAGGAAGTCAAGCATTTTATCGGCCCTAGAGGACTTGCAATGAATGTCGGTAGTGACTGCATCGAAAAATAATACATTTCTGTCTTTACTTTTTCAGAATACACTCACATAAAATTTTTAACAGCTTTCATTTGAACCCTCCATGTATTTACATGCTGTGAATGGCCAGTTCCCTTCACATATTTTCTACCCGGACGATTCTAAAAACTTTTTTATGAGGACAGGTCAACCCCAGAGCCATACTACTAGGAAAAACTTCTGCCCCTTCTGAGGACTGAACCCAGACCACTATCTCAGCAGGGAAGTCTATCTGCAGATCACTGACGATTAGTTAATCACTGTGAATGACTGAAGCTAAACTCCACCAGGACCACATACTGAGCAATCAACACCCAGTAACCCAAAGAGCTGAGAATTCCCCCAGGTACAAATCCCAGAAACCTCATTTAAGCGTTAGATTATACTTGGGCCCCCGGCGGTTACAAAATAACCTGAAGTTTGGACAGGGAAGGGCTGTGCATATTTAATCAAGATCCATATTTCTGTGCCATGCAACAGTTAGTAAAGTAAAAAGTAAAGATCCCTTTTCACGCCTTTTAGGCACAACAGGCATATGAACAGAGCACCAATATTTTTATAGACCATTCGGCACTAGGTGGGTAATGTGGTCAGCATTACGCCAGCTATCTTTACTTTCCCAAGATATACATCCGTGGCTAAGGCGTTGCGAGTCCGACTCGTAAGCCAGCATACCGCGATCAAAACCCACTGCAGGCTGCGTGGATTTTTGTCGTGGTATGGGACGTCGCAGGTCGACCCAGCCTAAAATGTGTACCAGGATGGGCTGTCCTGGGAAAGTAAAGACAGCCGGCATAATGCTGACCACATTACCCACAGAGTGCTGATGGTCTGTAAAAATATGGGACGCTCTGCCCATATGCCCAATGCGCCGAAAGGCGTGAAAAGGGAACTTTACTTTTTACTTTACTTACCTTTTTAGACTGGGTCGACCTGCGACGCCCCAAACCACGATACAAATCCACACAGCCAACAGTGGGTTTTGATCGCGATACGTTGGAATTACGAGTCAGACTCATAAAGCCTAAGCACGGACAAGCAGCAGTACTTAGTTGGTATTAGAGTTAAGTATTTAGGACTAAGAACCAAGTCTTACTGAGAAGTAAATCATGGCGGCAGGCAGGTGTGTTATAATTCTGTAATGTAAACAACACTATTTTCATATCAATGATAACATAAAAAAAAAGAGGATAACGAAATAATAATTAACTTACATTTGTTGCTGATTTTAACTGCTTCATTTTCTTGTCTGGCACTTTTAGCTTCCCCTAATCTACTCTTCGCTGTGGGAGTGTTCTTTCTTTCTCTGAAAGGGGTAATAACTCTGTCTGCTACTTGTTCTGGTTGCTGTTCTTTGACTCCCACCAAGAAGAAGCTCTCTAACGGATCCTGTGACAGGCATGAGTGTTCTGGTAATTTCATCTGGACCACCGACTTCAGTGCTTCACTGGGTACTTTTGTCAAACAACCTTCCATCCTGAATGTGTCCCAGACAAAGAAATTACATTAAGGCTGGTGTCTTGAGATATTTACAGTATCAGCAACTTTTCTTTCTTTACTCTTGAAAATACAAGGATATAGTGAATTGGTTAGATTCCTGCCTGTCAGCCTGGTTATTATGTTAACATTAACAATTTATTACAAATTACATTTCACAGTTTAGAGGAATAGTGAAGTTACCTATGGCAAACTTAATGTTAAAAATTAAAAATAAAAATAAAGTAAGGTAGCATTTCTACTACATAAGTCTAATCGGGTATTTAGTACTAGTCCCAAATGTTTACAGATCGATCAGCACTGATGTGTCCTGTGATCAAAATCACGCTGACCTTCTTGACTTCCCAGGCCATATCTGGTATCTATTTTAGACTAGGTAAACCTGGCAGCCCAGGTGAAAAAAGAACTTCCTTCTCAATTGGGATTTAATCCTATTATGGTGAGGCTGGTATTTGCACATAAAACCATACTATCTGGTGAGTCCCCAGTCTCTTCCATGGTGCGACTCTCATACCACAAAAACAGAAGACCCACATGGAAAGACTGGTCTAGGCCTTGCTGATGTGTGTGTGTGTATGTGTGTGTGTGTGTGTGTGATTTTCATGCCTTCCTATAGCATAATATAACACTACTGTCTGGAAAGATGGAAAGGTGCCTCCCCCCCCCCTTTTCCCCCCAAAAACCCTATAATCTAAAAAAAAAAAAAAATTTGAATTAAAAAAAGTCTTAGATATTATTTACTAGATACTGCAAACCAACGCCTGATTTGTTGACTGCCTGTGGTTTTACTAGGCAATTCACATTCAGTAGTCTGCTATTGCTTTCTGAGGGGGTCATGTTTATAACATGGTCAAAATCAACACAAAGTGAGCTGCTAACAAACTGCCCTAGCTGGCATGAAACCCTAGTATGTCAGAATTGTGAAATTACATTCACAACCTCTAAGCCACACACACCAACTAGAATCTAAAGCATACCAAAATATTATATTTAGGAGCTAAATAGCCACGCTGACATTACCCTGCTCTTGATGCTGCCCTCGAGGAAGCACGACTGGCTTTGGACAAATCGTTCACAGTTCTTCTGGTTTGTAATTTAGCTGACATTGGCCTCGGAGGTGGTTTTGAGATCTTCTGCTCTTCTGTTGATGCATCTTGCACATCCCCAATGTCAGTAACTTCATCCTCAAACCGATATCCTGTTGCATCACAGTTCTCCTCTTCAAACTGATACCCTGTTGAATCACGGTTTACTTTTCGTGATGTTGACTTCTCATCATTGGGCAGCTCAGAAATGATCAGACAGTTCGTAGAGCTCTGGACATGAGATGAAGCTGATGTGGGCAGCAATGAGGACCTGCTGGCAGACTTGTCTATTTCAGGATGTTCTTCCTCACGGTGATAAACTTGGATATCCTCTCCTGGGCTAAAATGTGTGTACTCATTATCAGTTAACGCAGGCTTCCATGATTCTCTGAGAAAGAACATCAGAATGTCATGAATGTGGCGGGCAAAACAAAACAAAAAGTTACCAAAAGAAGATTAAGTAAGAGATACCAATGAAGAAATATTCTTGATTACAATTTATCAGCACATTACTTTCAAAATGATAATATAACAGTAGTGTAGTAATCCTTGGAAAAGCCAAATTTCTTGAGTGTGTTCTGACCAAATACAAACAAGTAACAGAGCATAAAAAGTTAAAGAGGGGAATCAGCTAATAGAGTGATTCACACATCATGCACTATTTGGGACTCAAAGAGTCGAAGAAGAGAGGCTGGACTCCCCTGCCCCTTGGTTTTATCCCATCTGACTTGATGTCTGTCCACAGAGAAGAAGGCTGTATTCACAAGTGCTGCATAAAACAAGCTCTCTGTACCTCCAACAATGACCCTAAAGGGATGCCCTTTAAAATTACACTGATCATAAACTGAACACATAACATAAGGCAAATGGTTTGATATCTAAACCATAAAGACTCCCTGGGTCACATTCAAAATTACATGAAACAGAGTTACCTCTGCAAGTGTCTTCTTCTTCTGTGTAAAGGGTGGCTGGCACATTGTGGTTGACAGCTAGGCTGTGATATCTGTGCTGTTCAGTCCCACACATTCAATTTCTGCAAACCCCTGATTAGTCACCTTTTATGACATGCTTGTTAAGGGGGGCAGCGGGCTTGTTATTTTTTTTCTCTCCATACAATGGTACCCGGAAACCTACATAGGGAACTGCAAGTGTCACTGTGGAGGTACAGAAAATCACAAATGTGGGACCTGGCTTCTGCCAAGTGCAACTTAGATATTTATAAAACCACTTGTGGGAGTTACACAATTATTCTTCAGCATTTCAAGCTGTTGAGTTTCACTGCTGCAGATGTCATCTGCCTTCATTTAACACTGTGACTAGCCCTATCTTTTCAAGGTCATAACTCCAAGTGTTTGTAGGTCTGCCCAGATATTATCTCTCAACCATCTTCTTGGTCTGCCTAGTGTCTACAGCCATACAACTCTTTTGTGTACAGCTTTTCTCCTCTGTTGTCTGCCATTCTCTCTTTATGCCCAAGCCATTTCAGTGTATTAACTCTCATGATGCTAGTAATGAATGGTTTTAAAGATTTTATGAATTTTGCTGTTGCTTCTCATACCAATTCCATGCTCTATGATTCACTGTGAGATTCTGTTTTCAAACATTTGTAATAAGACTTGACTCTTTTAGTCGTGCTCCAGAATTCAAAACCATATGAGACAACTGGTATTATCTGCATTTGATATACATAAATAATCATCGATACAAAAATCTGCCTTTTTATTTAGGCAAACACTTAATTATCTCACCCCTAACACTTCTGCCCTGAGAAACTGCAAATGCCGCACTTCCAGTAGTGCCATATTCCCCGTAAATACTGCTTAATCAGCATTTTCGCATATCAAGGTCACAAAAAGCACTCTAATCAGCTTTTGACCTGTTTTCAGCATATATATAAATGACATACAAAGGATTCTAGCAACTAAAAATGGTATCTTGACCAATGTTATTGACAGCAACCGCCACCAGAAAGGCAGTTCGTCGTCGATGGAAGTAGTTGGGCACAAGGAATTGGCTATACACATGTAGCATTTTTACATAAGGTATTTCACCAGCTCTCATGTAAACCGGCTAATGACCATATTGAATACCACGAGACAACCGCTGCACAAATGAAAGGCATTCCACATGAAAAACACAACTCACAGGGCTGCACCAAGCACTAAACTCAGTAGCTCAGGTAGCGAAACCGTAGACTACCTACCATTCATATAACCTTTTGTTAATCACCTTTCACAAGATGCTTGTAAAGTTGCAGTGAATATAGTCTGCAATTTTTCCTCACATCTGGGCCCGGAACATAAACAGGCAGCATCATAGTATGGAAGAACAACTTTATCAGAAACAATTGATAGCACACCTGACAGAAGGCTGTGCTAGACACGATTACCAACACCACATAACATAGAAGGAAAACAAGAGTTAACTTGTGTCAGATGAATTGTTCTTACCTTTGTTGTAGCTGTTCTGTCTTCCATGACTCTAAAGGGGAAACTTCTTTGACTATGTAATGTGGTCTGTGATTTGACACTTCTGATATGGCAGGTTCCTAAACATGACAATGCAATTAACAAATAAAACCAATTAAATGCAGAGGTTCTGAAAAGATTGGGAATAAAAAGATAAACTTGAGATATTTAGGCCATATTAAAAGACGCAGCACTCTTTTAAAAACCATATTAGGGGGGGGGGGGGGGGGGGGGGGGGGGGGGGGGGTGTGGGAGATCGGGGGAGTCAAATGAAAGAATACATACAAGAATACAAGTGGCCAAAAAACATCAGGAGGTGTTCATACATTAGTCTGTTACAGTGAACTATCATGAGAAGAGAAGAGTGTGTTGGAGACATTTACTGTGGTAATAGTACCTGATTAACTTACTGATAAACACAGTGAATAAATAAAGTAATGAAATAGAAAAGAAACAGTAGCACTATTTTACAAAATAACCATGTGAAAGAAACAGTTAAGAAATATAAAAATGATACACAGAAAATAAGCTAAAAATATTTAACATAATAACTACAGAAAAGAAACACATTGCATTTGACTCCCCCGATCTCCCACCCCCCTTATACAGTTTTTAAAAGAGTGCTGTGTCTTTTAATATGGCCTAAATATCTTAAGTTTATCTTTTTATTCCCAAAGACTTGTCCACTTGTCATCCAGACCCCCTCAGTCAGATTCCCAAGGGTGGTGTTCCAGAACAGGGAAGCATTCATATGCAAATTTCACAACCTAATGTATGCCTGCATATGCATAAGACACAAGGCCAGCGAATTCATAGTTGACCTGAATATAACAGTCGTCCCTTTGTAGGATGCAATTTTTTTGTTATTTTGAAGCTCCACCTCGGCTTGGGCAGGGGGCCCTAAATTTAGCCGGGCCATAAATATGCCTAACCGCTAAACAGGGTGTCCGGAACAGCTCCATGGGTGATCCTCATCCGCACGGTGGCGCTTTGTGTCACCGGGTGTTTATCGCTTGTGTGATGTCCTGGTGGGTACAACTTACCTACCTACCTATAGCTGACCCTGGCTGCCAGGTAGACCCAGCTTAAAATAATTACCACGCTACTGTGCCATTATGTCGGCTCTGTGGCTAGGTCAATGTGAACGCTTCATAATGCCGGAATGTCGGGTTCGATCCAGCTGCGGGCCATGCGCCTTGCATTGGTTTCCACAGTGGTATCAAGAAAGCCAACCGTCCAGAAAGCAATGGCAAACTACTAGACATAAATGTGCCCAGAAAACCACACAACAGCCAGGGGCTGCAACGTCCTGTAAAGGATACACAACTAACATGTGCCATTATACATCACACAGGGCTTACAGTTGATCGTTTTGGTCCTTTCGACCATGTGCAATTATTTCAATTTCATGGATGAGCACTTTTGGCCTCTCTAATCAGCATTCTTCTGCTCTCACATTAGCATGACTGTGTGACATAGAAGTAAAACATCATGAAGCTGGTCTATGCCACCTCTGAAGCAGAGAAAGAGAAGACATTAAAACCAACTTCTTATGGAAACAATCAGTAGAGGTACCAAAGAGTTGCTGCTGCATCAGAGGACTGAGAAGGCATGGGAATGCTCAGTGTGCGGTGATGTTAATTGTGATAACACAACATCACAACAACTCTTTGAGTCCCAGAGGGTTTAGCATCACAGGCACAGGGGGTAGTAAAGAAAGTAATAAAATCGGTGCATCATGCATTCATTGGGCTTCTATGTAGGAACCTATGAATGTATGATGCATTCCTTGGGACTCAAAAAGTTCAGCGTCCATTTTAGGGTTTCTTTTTGATGTCATTGTTTTCTCTTTCAATGTGTTTCCAATTTAAGCTGAAAATGCATATCATGAGATATCCTGGGAACTAAACGCGGCCAGCAGGATGTCAACCATGTCAACCATTAGGTTCAACTGGTCTATAAAAAACAACAGTTCTAGTACCATATGACCAATGTGCCACTGGTGTGAGAAGAATTTTTGTCAAAGACAACTGTCTGTTTCTTACAACAGCTTCTTTCTTCTTTTCTCTAATCCCTGCTCTGCCTTTCAGCATCAGGATTTGAAGAAGCACTTGGTGCGAGTATAGCTGTGTGCTGCATGGATTCTGGTATTTGAGACCTCAGATGTTATATATATCCATAAATTGTGTGGGCAACCTCTAGGTCTGCTTTCATTGTTCTAAGTGACACAGTTCTCTAAGGTGCCCTGGCCTCTGGCACTCTGGATACAAGTTGAAACCAATTTACTGGTTGTCTCTTGATGTAGTTTACAACTGTTTGCATCCACACATGTATCCTGATATCGTTATTTCTGATCTTGTCTTGCCTTTTGTGTATAATGTTAAATTTTATTAGCTTGTTCTGAATATGCAATTGAGCTATATGAGGGGGCTTCAAATGATAGATGCGATAGAAATTACAACAACCATAACATTGTCTTATAGCCTGTTAATATTGCTGTTAAGGATGTCAAGAGTGTTAAGAGCATGACATCCAGTGCAGACAAACATGGTGATGTTACAATGAAAGTTCAAAGATAGCCACTTCACTTCTGACATGCACCAATGAGAAGCAGCATTATGTTATCCCTTTTTTGGGGGTCAGTGAAGTGGCAAAACGTATAGAAATTCATAGGCAAATAAAGTTCCAGTATGCCTGACAGTCAAGCACAATTGTATGACTGGAGTAAGTAAAGTAAAGATCCCTTTTCACGCCTTTTGGCGCATCAGGCATATGGGCAGAGCGTCCCATATTTTCACAGACCATCAGCACTCTGTGGGTAATGTGGTCAGCATTACGCTGGCTGTCTTTACTTTCCCAGGACAGCCCATCCTGGTACCCATTTTAGGCTGGGTCGACCTGCGACGTCCCATACCACGACAAAAATCCACGCAGCCTGCAGTGGGTTTCGATCGCAGTATGCTGGCTTACGAGTCGGACTCGCAACGCCTTAGCCACGGACGCCATGACTGGAGTAGGAAGTTTCAAAATGGCATGACTTTTGGGACAATCTGTCCATGACTGGGTCAGGCACACTGAGCAAGCATTCCAATTAAGTCACACTGTTTGGAAACTTCCTGCTCCACTCATACACTTGCTGGACTACAGGCATACATCACCATACTTGACCTTCATTCCTGATGAATTTCTTTAGGTTTCACCCCTTCACCAATCAAACAATGGATAACACAACACTGCTCCTCTTTGATAGATGCCAAAAGTGGGAGTTTCATCTTTAAACTGTCATGTTGATGTCACCCTATGAACCATAATTTCAGGGACTTTACACTCCTGCCATCTTTAACAACAATGTAGACAGGCTACAAGAAAATGGCATGGTTATTGTAATATCTATCACACTTTTGACATTTTATCTGAAGCCTCATCATATTTATTGTTTCTACAAAGTAAAGAACACTTGTCAGTACCCACCCCTTGTGAGAACAGTTCCATGATGGAAACTTCAGACACAGATGGACCAGGTCTAGCAGCATTCCTGTCAGGTGATCTTGCCTGTGCAACTACTTCAAACAGTGACTGGAAATCCACATGGCCATCGTCATCTAAGACACACACATTTAAACAAAATCTGCAGTGTCTGAAAACCAGATTCGGGCTGCTGTGGCAGAGCACCACTCAGATACTTGCCCAATAGTCCGAAGGTTAAATCTGCACTGGGGTTGATTTTTGATACTGATCAGGGCTCTAAGGTCAACCTAGACTGTGTTCTCTCAAAAGATGTCATTACTCATGCAAATATGCTAGTGGTGAGGGGCAGACGAAGTGCATGGGGGTTCATAGCGAAGGCAAATGGACGTCGCTTGGCGCAACAAAGCCTGGCATATGATATCACAACGCTTGGCGCAACAAAGCCTGACATATGATATCACAACATCTAGTTTGAGAATGGAGGTGGAGGCAGTCACTGCTGCCTTCCGTTGGCTTGAGAATCAGCTGTACACACATGTCGTCATTGTAACTGACTCATAGAGCATGCTGAGAAAGGTGGAGACAGGCATGCTCCATGCAGAGTGGCAAGCATGACTTCAGAGGTCCTGGGTAGTTAGCATCCTTTGGATATATTCTCCATGAACGCCGGTGTGTTGGGAAATGAGCCGGTGGATAAACTGGCTGGTTCTGCACCACTTGGTGGTGAACTGATATATGACAAGCTGGATATTGTGAGGGCCCTTCAGGAATGGGTAAACAGTGCGGAGGCGCAGATGGAACATTACGGTCTAAAGAGAATTGCACTGCGAGGAGTTACAAGGGGATCTGGCTGACGCTCGACACTCGGGGAAGGGGTGAGACGGATATACAATCAGACTGTTACTGGTACCATCAGAATTTTAAATCTTCGCTTGCTGCTGAAGATGGGGACGGAGGGCTTATGGGAGTGTCCCGAGTGCTGTGATGTCGATTCTTAATTCAACACATCAAATTCTATCACTAGTGAACGTTTGCTTCAACAACGGTTCACCTGAACTGCTGCATCAATGCTGGCAACATTTTTTTTATATGTGGCATCAAAATGTACTTGAACCAGCCATGGATCTGTCAGGAACTTACCTTTTTTTCCAAAACATTCATGCTCAGTCTATCACTGTTACCTTTGACACACATTCATTACCATATGTTACTGCATTCTTCAATGAATATTGATGAATGTCCAAAGGTCAACATCGTATAAATAAAAGAAAATGAATCACTGTTCTTTGAGCTTCTTTAGATGGATTTTGGATCAACCCGACCATGTTCTCGATGGTCAGAAAAAGAACATATGTATCATGAGACAATAAGCAAGAGCTCTTTTATTATTTGGTCAAAACTTACCACATGATTAAGACATGATCATGCTCAACGCACGCAAGTATCTGTGGTGCTGTTAGAATGGCTTTCAAATAAATGCTCCTAATAGATACTCATCTGTCAGAATTTGTGAAGACTTAACACTTTACTCTCCAACGGCTATCCTCCGAATAACGGTCCTAAAGTATCGAGGTGGAAAATATACCCTAACAGGGCCTCAGTCACGTGTCAATTGCGCAGTTCCGTCGTATTAAATCGCGCACTTCCGGCGACTTCCGCCACCGCCGAGAGTTTCCCCCACGCCGCTCATGAAGCGTGGATTGGGGCTAAACTAGATGCCTGGGACTCATGAGCAGCAGCTACCGCATTTTTTCAACATGAGCTTTTCTGCGTAGGATAGAGATGACTTGAATTTGATGTCTGGGATGGTGATTTCTACAGATGTTCCAATTGATTCATCTACAGCCACAGCTAGGAAAAAGTGTATAAGTAAATAAATTAAGTTATAAGAGAGCTAGCATAGAAAAATACTCAGTTATTAGGCAACTCACACTGTGTGGGTCATTACATGGTCTGAATGAATGAGAGAATGAATGAATCAATGAAATAATGAATGAATGAATGAATGAATGAATGAATGAATGAATGAATGAATGAATGAATGAATGAATGAATGGCATGAACAGAATATTGCTGCACTCAGGTCATTCTTACACATGCTCTGTTTCCTTCAAATGCAGTCAACAAAAAGTTCCTGAGTCATACAAGATTCTAAATTTAAACTTAGTCCTAAGAAAATAATCCTGCATCCTTTATCAATCTATTTGCTAGTGCTTCACCCAATAAGCTTTTCTAGGGACCATATTCCTGACAAGAAACAAAAAGTAAAGCACCATTTTTCATACTTTCAGGTATATTAGGCATATAGGGCTATACCTATACTTTATAGATCAATCGGCACTTGGAAGATGATGAGTTGAGCATCATGCTAGTGGCCTTTACTTCTCAGGAACACAACTGGTAACCACTCAAGGCTGAGTCGACCTATGAGCCAAGGTCATTTCTGGAAATTTTTTTGCTTTCTCAGGACCTGAACTCCTGATCTTCCGATCCCAAGGCTACACAATGGCGCCTCCCTATATTCACAATAATGTCAGATGTTATTTGCGTATCCTTGACAGGTTGCTGCAAACTAAAACCAGCATTTGTTGGCCAATCTTTTGTTTTTACTAGACCAGTGGTTCTAAATCTTCCTAATGCTGTGACCCTTTAATTCAGTTCCTTATGTTGGTAACCTCCAACCATAATATTATTTTAAATGCTACTTCCATAACTTCAGTGAACATGTGTTTTCCGAAGGTCTTAGGTGACCCCTGTGAAATGGTAGTTTGACCCTCAAAGGGGTCACAGAAAATAGGTTGAGAACCACTGTATTAGACAATGGTTACATTCAGAAGTCTGCCATTGCTTCCTGAAAGGCTAGCTTTTGATACCAATGCAAAAATCAATGCAAAATAGTCTACTGCTAAATTGCCAACAGCCTGAATGAAATCATGGAATAACAAACCAACAGGACTTTATCTGGTACCCATGTAAGGGAGGGTTGACCTGGGAGCAGGCCACTGTTGAAAAAAGTCCATCAGGACCTGAACTCACACCTTCAATTCCACAGGCAAGCATCAAGCTGCTATGCCATGGTGGCTCCCCAACGACTATGTGCAGCTCCAATAATCTCTCTGATAATATCATTTCCCATTTGGTCATAGATGATTAAACTGACAGCTTTCCTCAAAATATAAACAAAATAATATAAAATGAGCTTACGTGGAGAGGAATTTAGTTTCTCTTGGTCTAGCCTAGCTGAGCGGCATGTCACAGGTTGATCCCCTTGCCTCCATGCCATCAGGGCGGCCTGGAAAGAGGCTGCACTTTGTGACTCATCATATTCCCCCTGTAGAAGTGTGGGGGCCGCAGTGTGGGGAGATGGCTGAGAAGATGATGCTCCTGCAGCCTCACAACCATTCATTTCATAGTCGCTATACTGTGTGCAGAAAACAAAAGAAAGTGCTTAATGATTAGAGGAAGTCTGATTAGAAGTAGCGCTGACATTAAAAGACCCTCATTTGGGTTTAGGGCCCCACTGTGGGGAAAACATGAATAGACCCACTGCCTCCCTAACAAGCATGTCATAGAAGTTGACTTATTGGGGGCTTCCTTCAAAGTCGGAGTTCATCTGCCTGAGAGGCAATGAACCAACAGTCTGCATACAAATAAGCAAGATCTATAAAACAAATGCACATGCAAAACTCAAGTCCTGGAACAAAGCCAAAGTCCAGAAATGGATGAACAACCCTAACATCTGGTGAATGCAAACAAACAAACATCAGAAGAAAAAGTCTAATGAAGAGTAGAAGGAATTAGAAATGTGATCATGGATTCAATTTTAACCCTACCAGACAGCTTGCCCGGGAATTTCTTAACCTGACGCTATACCGCTGGCCCTGATTTTCGGCTTTTTGCGTAGTACGGGAAAAAGATGCGTCACGGACTAAAAATACACACCCAATCGTTATCAATCCTCTTTGCTAGACATTGTCTGCCTGCATGTGTTTAGATTATATTTGTGTTGTTTTACATGGAAAAATTATGAAAATTCATAATGAAATGAGCTGCTGATGAACCAAGCACTTCAACAGGAAAGTAAAGTAGTTCTAAGCTTTTCACAGTCTAACAGGTGATCGATATTTTGGTTTATTCAGACTCTGCGGAGTGATAATTTCATAAAGAATACGTTCTCGAAGTGACACAGTCAGTGAAAGCGCGAATGATGAGGAAAATCTTGAAAATGATAAATCTTGAAATAGATCGAAAGTAGGAGAAGGGGGTGTGTTCCTCAAACGGCAACATCTGGTGTTCACTTTGTGAAACAAAGTTGATCCTGCTAAGTATATTCGCACACAAAGGTGGAATATTGGCGCTAGATAAAAGGTAAGCTTATTTTCTACAATGTCTCCAAGTTTCATCATATTCTAGCCACTTGTTTGCATGTAACTAATATTTGTGTACATCATGTTGGTTTTTTCACGTTAATGCACAGGAGCTCAGGTAATAGGGACAGTTAGGTTCAGGGCCACAGGTCTGGTGGGGTTAATCGGTAAGGGTCATGATCTAAAGTGTAATTCATATTAGAAGTCTGATGAAAAGTAGCGACTGGATGAGAAGTAGAAGTCTGGAACAACAGGTAGAATTATTATCAGCGGGTGATATGATTTGAAACAGAATTCAAATTAGAAGATGAAGCTTGATGAACAGTAGACATTGGATGAGACGGAGAAGTCCGATAAAGAGTAGAAGGCAGAGAATTAGAAACTTGATCACAGACAGAGATTTATGATTTGAAGTAGGATTTAAATAAGAAGTATGAGGCTGATGAAAACAGAAGTTTGAAGAGAAGTAGAAGTTTAATCACAGTTAATTCTAATTGTTGAAGACAAATAAAATAGAATCAAATTAGAAATAGAAGCCCTGGTGAAAAGAACAAGGTTGACTAAAAGCAGAAATTTGATCACAGGTAAAGTCAGTAGGAGACAGCTGAATTGAAGTAGAATTCAGATGAGAAGAAGAACTTGTATGAAAATACAAGTTTAAAGTGGCATACTTTTTGACAACAAATGAATAACTGAGCAAACCCTTGAGGCTAAGAGAACAGACTAGACAACAACAAAATAAAAAGTTATAGCTACCATACTATGACTCGACCTTGTCACCTTCAAATGGCACCTATCCGTGTAGGTTCCAGGGGCCCTGTTTGGGAAGGAGTGGGAAGGGATCCACTGCCCCCCCCCCTCCCGCCCCCAATAAGCATGTTGTAAAAGGTGACTAATTTAGTGTTTCTCCTCTAAAGCCAGAGTGCATCTGCCTGACCAACAATCTGCATACAAGTAAGCCAGATCTGTAAAATGGATATGCATGCAAAATTCAAGTTCTAGAATAAGATAAAAGTCCAGAAGTGGTCGAACAACCAGAAATTCCTGCCGGAGTTTACAGCCAGTGAACACTAAGAAGACGAAATGAAACCAGAGACTTGCTGCACGAACAAGTGGACTTCGGTGCAAGACCAACTTGATGCCCCTAAAAAAGTGCCACCATTAGTTAGGTAGAACCCACAACTATGCAGAATTTGCATCCAGCCAATTGAAATAGCACAATGTTACATAAATATATTTTAAGCAAACATAGATATAAAAACAGATAAACAAACATATCAGAGCCCAATGAAATCTAAATCTTTTTTAAGGGTGTTGAGTTGGTAATGTGTCAAAGTACACTTGTTTCCACCCAAGCAAGATCTTATTTCGAGGTGACAGGTTTGAGTACTGGGAAACTCCTTTCTGATTTTCAATGAAAGTGACATTACCTAAAATATTCATCTTCTGAAATGTAGATTTCATTTGATTCACCAGCTTTTAATCTGTATCAGCCAACCCCCCATTTGATGCTTTGATTACCCGCTTTGATTACTGCATATCTGGGGGGGGGGGGGGGGGGCGTGCGAAGGAGCCCCACTGTTTGTCACAAAGTGTCTAAAAAGGAGTTGAGTGTTGAGTTGGGAACTGACATCCCAGCACTCAAAATACATTAAACCGGGACACCCCTGTAAACTTTATGACAGTTTACAAGCCTGACGAAGTATGAATGAAAAGTGACGTAGTGTGTAACGGAGCTTGGACCTGGAAAACGATAGTTGTACTGCCAGCCGTCCTCATCTTCAGCAGCAAACTAACTATTTGTAATACTGATTGTGCCTGCAGTTTGATTTATATGTCCATCTTGCCTTTCCTTCAAGTGAAGAGTGTCAACTAGATTCCACTCCTGAATGCACTATTCTCTACAGACCATAATGATCTATTCGCGCCTTTACACTTCTCACTTGCTCCCAAAAGGCCATTTCCACATCAAGCTTGTCATTATAAATGTACCACTCACTGTTGCAGAACCAGCCACTCTGTCCAACCAGCCAATCTGTCCAACAAGCCAATCTGTCCAACAAGCCAATCTGTCCAACAAGCCAATCTGTCCAACAAGCCAATCTGTCCAACAAGCCAATCTGTCCAACCAGCCAATCTGTCCAACCAGCCAATCTGTCCAACCAGCCAATCTGTCCAACAAGCCAATCTGTCCAACCAGCCAATCTGTCCAACCAGCCAATCTGTCCAACAAGCCAATCTGTCCAACAAGCCAATCTGTCCAACAAGCCAATCTGTCCAACAAGCCAATCTGTCCAACAAGCCAATCTGTCCAACAAGCCAATCTGTCCAACAAGCCAATCTGTCCAACCAGCCAATCTGTCCAACAAGCCAATCTGTCCAACAAGCCAATCTGTCCAACAAGCCAATCTGTCCAACAAGCCAATCTGTCCAACCAGCCAATCTGTCCAACCAGCCAATCTGTCCAACAAGCCAATCTGTCCAACAAGCCAATCTGTCCAACAAGCCAATCTGTCCAACAAGCCAATCTGTCCAACCAGCCAATCTGTCCAACCAGCCAATCTGTCCAACAAGCCAATCTGTCCAACAAGCCAATCTGTCCAACAAGCCAATCTGTCCCAACAAGCCAATCTGTCCAACAAGCCAATCTGTCCAACAAGCCAATCTGTCCAACAAGCCAATCTGTCCAACAAGCCAATCTGTCCAACAAGCCAATCTGTCCAACAAGCCAATCTGTCCAACAAGCCAATCTGTCCAACAAGCCAATCTGTCCAACAAGCCAATCTGTCCAACAAGCCAATCTGTCTAAAAAAGATGTCAGTACTCACCACAAAGTGTTTACTTCAACAGCACTGAAAAAAAAATGCATGCCCCCCCAAAAAAAGATGCTGATACTGGATATCTCCAGAAGAAAAATCCCTGTCTAATACTAATACAGTTCAATACAAGCTTGAAGTAGCTGTTGGTGTGTCAGTGTAAAACATGTGTCACTGCAGATAGCATGTGGTATTGCAGTAGTTAATGCGTTTGGTTGTTGTTTGCAACAGTGATTTTCTTGCAGAATAATGAGCATAAAAGAAATGTTTTTGAATATATATAAGACTAGTTACTTGCTATGATGATATGCTGAAAGTAAAGTAAAGGACCCTTTTCCACACCTTCAGGCATATCGGGCAGACATTTTATAAACCAATCAGCACTCAGAGAGGGGTGAAATACTTAAGAGAAGTGACAAAGATCAATTACTCACAGGCTGAGTAGGGACCAAACCACTGGCTGCCTGCCCACATCTGAAACATACAATATGTTCAAAGTGTGAGGTCCACAGGAAACTAGACACACATAGAAAGATATCACTGAGAGGAGCACACGTGATCACATGTATACAAAAAAAAAAAAAGTACTGTAAAGAGTCCTTGTAGTAATATGCAGGTAGTATTTAGGATGTATGATATCCCTGTCAGTCAGTAGCATGTCCTTTGCAGAACCTTGCTCCCATAAAAACTTTTCGGAAAATTTCTCGATCACAAGCAGGATGTCCCGCGTGAAATAAACCCATCTGGAGATCATCCACCACATCCTGCACCCATTTTCTCTTTGGCCTTCCTATTTCTCTCTTCCCAGGCATATACCCCTCATAATTGTTCTCTCTAAGTTTCAATTCTCTGTGTTTTATTATCTTTAATAGCCAAACTTCTTCAATATTCAGTTCTTAAAGCTCTATCATTTGCTAGTCAGCTAAACAGATATCCATCATTTGCTAGTCAGCTAAACAGATATCCATTATTTGCTAGTCAGCTAAACAGATATCCATCATTTGCTAGTCAGCTAAACAGATATCCATCAGTTGCTAGTCAGCTAAGCAGATAGCAATCATTTGCTAGACAGCTAAACAGATATCCATTATTTGCTAGTCAGCTAAACAGATATCCATCAGTTGCTAGTCAGCTAAACAGATATCCATTATTTGCTAGTCAGCTAAACAGATATCTATCAGTTGCTAGTCAGCTAAGCAGATAGCAATCATTTGCTAGACAGCTAAACAGATATCCATTATTTGCTAGTCAGCTAAACAGATATCCATCATTTGCTAGACAGCTTAACAGATATCCATCATTTGCTAGTCAGCTAAACAGATAGCAATCATTTGCTAGTCAGTGTTGTGTGCTAAATGAGTTACCATTAGTCAGCACACTACCAAGTGTCTAGCAGGTACCCTTCAGCTTCCTCTATTAGAAATAAAACTTGACGGCGATGACACCGTCATACATTTTTATTTAACAGGATACATGACACAAATGCAGAGACGTAATTTTTGACATTCGCACATTGTCCATTTGTCCTCACTCGCTCTCTCTCTTTCAATTTGTAGCGACCTCTCCTTGACTACTACAGCTTCAAGGACTACACCGTCCCACACTCTGGACGCGCCGTACAGCTGAACAAGACGAATTCTCCCATTCCCTGGACCTTGATATTATTTCAGCATATAACACGGCTGACCGGAGACGGACTTTCCTGGCCGTACTCCCAAAACACACAGCTGTCGTCAGCTTATCGACAGGACTTTTACCATAAGTCCCCTCTAGCACACAGCTCTCGTCGGTACCACTCCCCCCTGTTCTGTTTCAGTAGCGGTCCTCCTACATTTCACTACGTCGCCACCCAGAACAGGTACTACTGGGGCCTTCCGTCCCCTGGACTTACTTTGCCAGCGGGACCATATCTTCTTCAGTACCGCAACCTCGACACTCACTCAGACCTAAATGCCTGATAGTCGTACAGTATTCTTGTCTGTTAGACTCGCGAGAGATATCACGGACCCTGACTTGGTCTCTGACTCTTGTTTTCTCTCTCTCTCTCTCTTCTCGCTTCTCTCTCGACTGCTTCTTGATTGCCTCCGAGTGGCTACTCAGCCCTCCAATTTATCCCCATCAAATCCGTGTAGGTGGATGATGTCTTTATGAGAGGCATGCTCGTATGAGCGTTCTCATGAATCATGATGCTGTGGGTGTTCTCGAGACTCACGCTCCTATGGGCGTTCTCAAGGATCACACTTATGCGGATGGCTGATGTTACCTGAGAATCACGCTGTCACTCAATCCCCACTTTCTCTGTTTATCTCGTTAGCCATGCTAACACAGTAACCCACGCGTCCACTTTCTCTCGTGCGTGCACGTCTTGTTCATGAATAGACATTCTCACTGGTCTCCTCTCACTACTCAGACCATGTTGACACTATTCCCCCCGTGAACTCACAGAATGTACTGGCATACCACTGTCCCTTCACACACTATCACACTTTACCCAAATCAGCGCGCAACATCATATTCTCCCCCTCTCCCAACTGACAACTAACTGAAATTAAGTTGTCAGTTGTTGATTTAGAAACCTTGTTGCGTGCTGATTTCAAAATTATAATAATCATTAGACATGTGATATCATAACATATCATATCATAACATTTCATGTAGTTAAATACAGTATAATTGTATATATCAATTCAAGCACACACATATTTATCTCTAATTTCAACAACTATGTGTGTTTGACACCGTGTAAAGTGGCCTTCATACAGGTAGTGGGCACCCTTGCACACTGCGTGGTAAACCGTTACAGCTCCCTTTTTTCCGCTGCTGTATTCTGTCTTGGCAACAGTCAGCTAAACAGATATCAATCATTTGCTAGACAGCTAAACAGATATCCATCATTTGCTAGTCTGCTAAACAGATATCCATCATTTGCTAGTCTGCTAAACAGATATCCATCATTTGCTAGTCAGCTGAACAGATATCCATCATTTGCTAGTCAGCTAAACAGATATCCATCATTTGCTAGTCAGCTAAACAGATATCCATCATTTGCTAATCCGCTAAACAGATATCCATCATTTACTTGTCAGCAATAACAGATCTGCATCACTGCTAGTCAGCTATAAAATATCTCTAGAATTTGCTAGTCAGTTATAACAGATTTATAACAGACCTCCATCATTTGATAGTCAGCTATAATGCATCTCACCACAGCTATAATCAGCTCTGACAGATCTCAAACATTTTCTGATCAGCTATAAGAGATTTCTACCATTGGCTGGTCAGCTATAACAGATCTCTTCTACTGGCTGGTCAGCTGTTACAAATCTCCACAATTTACTGGTCAATAAAATCGCCACCATTTGCTGGTCAGCTCTAACAGATCCCCATTTCTGGTCAGCTATATCAGGACAGAATTTTCTGCTTAGCTGTAACAGATCTCTGACATCTGACATTATCAGGTCAGCTAAAACAAATCTTTAACATTATTAGGTTGGCTAAAACAAATCTTTAACATTATTAGGTCAGCTAAAACAAATCTTTAACATTATTAGGTCAGCTAAAACAAATCTTTAACATTATTAGGTCAGATAAAACAAATCTTTAACATTATTTGGTCAGCTAAAACAAATCCTTAAAATTATTAGGTCAGATAAAACAAAACTCCAACATTATCAGGTCAGCTAAAACAAATCTTTAACATTATTAGGTTAGCTAAAACAAATCTCCAACATTATCAGGTCAGCTAAAACAAATCTTTAACATTATTAGGTCAGCTGAAACAAATATCCAACATTATCAGGTCAGCTAAAACAAATCTTTAACATTATTAGGTCAGCTAAAACAAATCTCCAACATTATTAGGTCAGCTAAAACAAATCTTTAACAATATTAAGTCAGCTAAAACAAATCTCCAACATTATTAGGTCAGCTAAAACAAATCTTTAACATTATTAGGTCAGCTAAAACAAATCTCCAACATTATTAAGTCAGCTAAAACAAATCTTTAACATTATTAGGTTAGCTAAAACAAATCTCCAACATTATCAGGTCAGCTAAAACAAATCTCTAACATTATTAGGTCAGCTAAAACAAATCTCCAACATTATCAGGTCAGCTAAAACAAATCTTTAACATTATTAGGTCAGCTAAAACAAATCTCCAACATTATCAGGTCAGCTAAAACAAATCTCTAACATTATTAGGTCAGCTAAAACAAATCTCCAACATTATCCAGTCAGCTTAAACAAATATTCAACATCTGCTGGTTGGCTAAAACAAATCTCCACCAATCGCTGGTCAGCAATAACGGATCTCCACCATTATATAGTTAGCTATAACAGATCTGAACCATTTCCTAGTCAGCTGTAACAGATCACCATTCATTATCTCCTATCTTGAAACTATCATCTTTTTAAAAATGAGATATCTAATTCACATAAATTCTTGACCCCAAAAAATATAGTCAACACATCAGACCATTTTATTTCATAAATATAATAATTAAGCACTACAGGTCCATCTTTTCTGTCTTTCTGTCTTTCTCTCTCTATAAAAAGATATAGGAACAACATCAATACCAGACTTAGAAAAATTAACACCAACTTACAAAAAGCATTACAAAAAATCTATACAGCTAAGATTAAAGGTTAAATTTCAGACTTCACTGCATCAGGTTTTATCCAGCATGACTCTCTCTCTTGCCACAGAATAGCTCACTGCCTGTTGAGAGCACTGCAGAAAGAACACTATGTAGCTGCTGTGACAATCTTCAGGGTTCTCTGTAAAACTGGCATGTGAGAATTGAGCAACGCATCTGTAAAACAAACCTACGACCTTCAGAGAGAGAGAGAGAGAGAGAGAGAGAGAGAGAGAGAGAGAGAGGCAAATGGTGTGAACACCTCACCATTAAAACCACCAAAGAAATCGATAGCAAAGATTTTTACAACCCCCCCCCCCCCCCCCTTCCCCTCAACTTATTAATTCAATGAAAAAGTAGGAGGTGGAGGAGGAGAGCAGAAGAGAAAGGTGTGACTTACCTTGGACTAAGGACATCTGCTGAAGTACTTGGAGACATACAAACTCTAGGTCCTGCAGCCTGTGGGGAAGACACAACAGGAAGTCTGATACCAAAACTTACACAATGTGCCAGTATCTAAAATCTTAGTTGAGAAATGGGACTGAAGTCACAGCTATAATTTACAGCCATTTTACATTGACAATTATTTTGAACAGAGTTTATTTTCTTCTTCTTAGCGTTCACAGGCTGTAAACTCCAGTGGAAAGTTCACACTGTTCCTCCACCTTTGGACTTTGGTCTTGTTCCAGGACTTCAGTTTTGCAGATCTGGATTATTAGTATGCAGACTGTTGGTTTCTCATCTCTCAGGCAGAATGCAACATGACTTCCAAAGAAACAAACTAATTAGTCACCTTGTATGACACTCTTGGTGGGGGGGGGGGGAAGGGGGTTTATACCCTCCCCTACTCCTACAATGGGACTCAGAACCTACAAAGGGAAACTTTATTAAAATCACTTTAAAAAAAAATTTTTTTGCAGTATTATAGTATTATTATAAAATAGGACACACATTTAAAAGACAAAATTTCAAAAGGTGCCAAATCATGGTGCTTCATACAGAATGTTACTAACTGTTGGAGTAATTGCAGAGTTGCTAACATGCTTGCCTGTTAAGTTAGTGGTCACATCTTTAAATCCCATTGACTGCTGAGATTTTTTCTAATTGATCTGGATTTCCTGACTGACCCAGTCTAAATGGTTACTAGTTAATTTTCTGAGAAGTAAAATCACTCAGAGTAATAGTGAGGACACCATCATTGAAAAATGATGTCCTCAGTATTAAGCACTGAGAGCAAGAGGTAAACAATGATAAAGTGGGAGGCCAACATCAAGAGATGGACGAACAGCAGTCTGAGAGAGTGTTGAACGAAGATAAGAGATGAAGCGATTTGGAGATCCACTGCAGCCAACTTTCACTGTGGAGATGGCACAACGGTGACTGATCATCTTTCAAAAACAAATGGTCTAAAAAAATATGGAGCTAGTACTATATCCAAGAGTTGCAGCAGGGCAGTGTCCAGACACTTACCTGCCGACCCGAAATCTTGGGTTTAAGAACCTGCCTCAAATCGCCTTTTAAACATTGGCTTCCAGGTGAACCCATGGTAAAAACGAGTACCAGATAATGAAATGGTATGCCCAATGCGCCACTGGCATAAAAAGGGTCCGCTACCTTTACTTATCATAATTACCTTTTTTTTTTTAAAACTTACTTACCATATACCTAATATACTGCTACTGTTACTTACCATACACCTAATATACTGTTACTGTTACTTACCATGCACCTAATATACTGTTACTGTTACTTACCATACACCTAATATACTGTTACTTACCATACCCCTAATATACTGTGACTGTTACTTACCATACACCTAATATACTGTTACTGTTACTTACCATACCCCTAATATACTGTTACTGTTACTTACCATACACCTAATATACTGTTACTGTTACTTACCATACACCTAATATACTGTTACTTACCATACCCCTAATATACTGTTACTGTTACTTACCATACACCTTATATACTGTTACTGTTACTTACCATACACCTAATATACTGTTACTGTTACTTACCATAGACCTAATGTACTGTTACTGTTACTTACCATAGACCTAATATACTGTTACTGTTACTTACCATAGACCTAATATACTGTTACTGTTACTTACCATAGACCTAATATACCTAATGGTTCAAAATAGAGTTCTCTATTTAACTGCTCTATATCAGGTTCTGTCATTACTGCCTGCATCTAGCACTCGTTTGGTGTAGGCATGGGGAGTCTTTGAGTTTGAGGATTTAGAGCTGCATGGCTAGTGCTATCACCATGAACTTTGCAGGTAAGGATTTAACCACCACCCACAAATCTATGCTCTTACAGAGAAATAAAAGCTGGGTCTACCGCCTGAGATCTCAGCGTTCCCAACCGCTTGGTCAGCTCCCCCCTCCCCCCACATTTGGCTCACAGTTTGTGTACAAACCAAATAAACTTACGCTTAAGGGGATACTTCTATGTTGTTTCAGAGCACCTTTCAGATGGAATGCAGCGAAACATCCTGGGCAATAAATCTCTGAACACTGGATGCAGCTCTGATGGTAAATACAAATTCACACCATGACAGCAATAATTTATATTGTGACCCTAGTTCACACCATGACAGCAATAATTTATATTGTGACCCTAGTTCACACCATGACAGTAACTGTTTATTGTTTGGTCAGTATTTAGATCATACCATAAAAGTAATAGTTTATATTGTGACACTAGCTCAAATCATGGCAGTAATAGTTTATATTGTGACACTAGTTCCTAGTTGAGTTGAGTTGAGTCAAGAATTGACATCACAGCACTCTGGCATTCTCATGTGTACTCCGTCCTCATCTTCAGCAGCCAGCACAGAGTTCCAATACTGATGGTGCCGGTCACAATCTGGTTATATGTTCGTCTCGCCTTTCCTCTGAGTGTAGTGAGCCGGCCAGACCCTCTGGTTACACCCAGGTGCCTCATTCTCTCCTGGCCAAAATAATCTTGTTTCTCTACTGATTCCATTGCTTGTTCCCAAAGGGCCTTGACCACATCTGCCTTGTCATGTATCAATTCACCACCCAGTGGTGCAGATCCAGCCAGTCTGTCTGCCTGTTCATTACCCACCACGCTGGCATTGCCTGGAGAAAAGATCCAAAGCATGCTCACTACCCATGACCTTCCCAGTGAAGCTTGCCACTCTGCTTGAGGCATCCCTGTCTTAACCTTGTGTATGCATCTTGTTCTCTAGCCACCGGAAAGCTGCAGTTACCGCCTCACCTCCATTCTCATACTAGATGTTGTGATGTCGTATGCTAGGCTGTCTTGCACTAAAGATTTTCCATTGGATTTCGCTAAGACATCAAACCATCTGTATAGATAATCAGATCACCTGGGCGTGAACTGTCATTAATCAACTGTTGGACATAGAACCTGCTAGCCCTTCTCTGCAATCCAGGCCCAATGTGATGACACTAGTTCCTATCATAACAGCAATAGTTTACACTTTATCACTAGTTCACACCTTGACAGTAACAGCCCATATTGTGACGCTGTTTCACACCTTGACAGTAATAGCCCATATTGTGACACTGTTTCACACCTTGACAGTAACAGCTCATATTGTGACGCTGTTTCACACCTTGACGGTAATAGGTTACATTGTGACACTAGTAATTTAGATTGTCTCATTAGTTCATTTGTCGACAGAAATAGTTTATTTTGTAAGATTATTTAACATCATGTCATAAATATTTTACATTGTGTCACAAGTTTATACCATTACAGTAACAGTTTCTAATTGTGAGATTAACAGTTTACATGTGACAGTAATAGTTCACACAGACACTAATAGTTTAATTTGTGACAGTGATAATTTATATTGTGACAGTAATAGCCTAAAGTGTGACACTAATAGTTGATATTGTGACAGTAACAGTTTACACTGTGACAGTAATAGTTTACACTGTTACAGTAACAGTTTACACTGTGACAGTATCAGTTTACACTGTGACAGTAACAGTTTACACTGTGACAGTAACAGTTTACACTGTGACACTAGTTCACACCATGACAGTATCAGTTTACACTGTGACAGAAACAGTTTACACTGTGACACTAGTTCACACCATGACAGTATCAGTTTACACTGTGACAGTAATAGTTTACACTGTGACACTAGTTCACAACATGACAGTATCAGTTTACACTGTGACAGTAACAGTTTACACTGTGACACTAGTTCACACCATGACAGTATCAGTTTACACTGTGACAGTAACAGTTTACACTGTGACACTAGTTCACACCATGACAGTATCAGTTTAAACTGTGACAGTAACAGTTTACACTGTGACACTAGTTCACACCATGACAGTATCAGTTTACACTGTGACAGTAACAGTTTACACTGTGACACTAGTTCACACCATGACAGTATCAGTTTACACTGTGACAGTAATAATTTACACTGTGACACTAGTTCACACCATGACAGTATCAGTTTACACTGTGACAGTAATAGTTTACACTGTGACAGTAACAGTTTACACTGTGACACTAGTTCACACTATTACAGTATCAGTTTACACTGTGACATTAATAACCATCATAATATTAATAGCTTGCACTGTGATGGGTTATCACCATGACAGAAATTGTTTACTGATTTCATATTATTCAACCAAACATTTCACAAGCAGAGAAAAAAAAAAAAAACCTGACATCCATACATACCAAGGTAGCAGTTCTATCCTCGCACTGACCACATTTGGGCCCTTTCTGCTTGTCTCTAGGGTTGGCACTAGTAGTCAGGTTTCTTTGAGCAATGTATTTCATTGTACCAGGTGGGCCAATTCTTTTTGGCTTACCTTTTATGAAAAATATGGCAATCTGATCACTCACATGACCCAGCTCTGAATAATGAACTATTAGGATATAACATGTTAAAGAAACACTTTTAGGATACTGTATATTAAGAAGGTGAGAAATTATGACTTTTTCAAAAAACAAGATTTACAATATCTGAGTAGGAGAGGCTGGCAAACGGTTAAGAACTGTGGGCTCTCATGCAAGAAATCCCGGCTTACCCCTGACAAGATTAAGGGTTTTTTCCTGTCATGGGTAAAAATAAAATCCTTATCTGCAGTCTGTGGCAGCTGCATTAGCCTTGCGGCCCTAAATACTCAAGCTGACTACCTCCCCCCATCCGCTCACACTGCTTCACCAAACAAAGGGACATCACCTGAGGACATTCATGCCACTGGCACATCATGGCATATGGTGCCTGACAAAAAAATTTTTTTAACGAATATTTAGCACTGGATCAGTGATATGGTAAACATCATGCTGGCTTTCTTTACTTCCCCTGACATTTCCAAGTGCCATTTAAGATTGGTTTAATTTAGAATTGGTCCTAAAAGTGGTGTGTCAGCTGGGGCATGCACACATCTCCTCTTTACTATCACACTGCAACCAATGTGCTTGTTAGAACAAATTAAAATGGGAAGTTTTCTGATGATCTCAGACTTCATTCTGTTCTGATTAGAATAGGGAAATCAGCAAGGATAAGCGTGGCCCCTCACTTCATTACAACAATACCTAATGTATACGAGGACCTCAACATTTTTCATTCCAGCTGCTTTTTTTTTTTTTTAAACCATTATAAGAATATATAGGCTATTCAACCTGAGAGGTTAAAAACACAAAGGTCAAAGGTAGTTAAAAATTTTTGTTATTGTAATCATCTAGGCAAAAGAGCTGAATGGGAGCAGACCATAATGCAGACTAAGAAGACAGCAGAGACATAATATACTTGCATACCTAAAATCACTTTAACTCTTAAACCCTTCATACTTTCACTTATTGGTAAGAGAAGGTCAACCAGAGAGATGAATGTGGGGGGGGGGGGGGTGATTACTGCCATCAAGGGCTCAGAATGAAGAAGGAGGAGGAGAAGAAGAAGAAGGAAAGAAAAAAGGAGGAGGTGGAGGAGGAGAAGAAGAAAAAAAAAGAAAAAGAAAAGAAGAAGAAGGAGGAGGAGGTGAAGAAGAAGAAAAAAAAGATTAAGAAGGATGAGGAGAAGAAGCAGAATGAGGAGGAGAAGAAGAAGAAGAAAAAGTATAAGAAACAGTAGCAGCATGTATATTTGTCTTCACTGTATGTATTTACCACTATTTAGGACAACGAAAACCACAATGTTTTTTTCAGTCTGAGGATTTTGCACTGCAAGACTAGTGCCGTGGCTATGAACTGTGCAGGTCATAATTTCTTGTTGCCGGTGATCAGCATGTATGTCTATCAGTAAATATATTTATGAAATAAATTACCTATTGGTTCATCTCGCAATATTTTGACTTTCTTAATCTTTCCCTCTGTAAGAGATGCCATAACCTTATTCTGAAGTACTTCTGAAGCATAGTTGGTCAACGAGCCAGTATTGAGTTGACCTCGGCCCCAGAAACCAGCTCCCTGTTGTCTGGAAATGTGGCAATTGATTTGTGAGTGACATTTTAGGGTTAATAAAAATGGTTAAAGGACATAAACAACTTTTTAAAATTTCCGTTATGAACTGAAATAATCAGGATGCCAACAATATTTTGCACAAATCACATGATTTGCTTTTTCATGCTTCATTATATGTTGACATAAATTCTGTAGCAATGCACCTTAGGAGGTACAGTAAAAAAAATGCCAGGCAATAAACTGTGCAATATGTTAACTGTGCCTTGTTGTTTACATGTAAGAAAAGTCAACAAAACTAAAGTGAGGATGATACAGATAATTATTTTAGTTGTTACCAGTCCGGGTGTCAACTGCCAATCTGGAACATTAAGTGAAAAATAAAAAAAAACATGCACACCCACTGACCCACCCACATACACACACATATATATGTATATACATATGTATATACATATGTTAATATATATATATATATATCATCATCATCAGGTGCCTTGCCGACTTGCAGGGGCGATCATGCCTCTCCACAATCTGTGATCTCCTGCAGCATGTATCAGTTCGTATGCACTCCATGCCATGCAGCAAGACTGTCAAGAATCTTATCTCATTGTCTTCCTCTATCTCTCCTTCCACAGATCTTTCCAGTGGTCACAACATGTTCTATTTTCCCTCTTCTCATAACATGGCCGAAAAATGATGACTGTCTCCTTCTGATGACTGTGTTAAGTTGTCTTCAGGCTCCCGCCTCTTTCAAAACCTCTTGGTTGCTTTTTTTGTCTGTCCAAGGTATTCTAAGCATTCTTCTGTAAAACCACATCTCTGAGGCCTCAAGAAATTGTTTGGCCTGCCTACCAATTGTCCAGGATTCACAGCCATATGTTAAAACTGGATGTATGTAGCCAGCAAGAATTCTTTTTCTAACTCTCAATGACAAGGATATACTGCACAAGATGTTCTTCATTTTATAAAATGCAGTTTTTGCCTGTCCTATTCTGTTTCTTATCTCAGTTATGCATCTTCCATCTGATGTTATCCATGTGCCCAAATACTTAAATTTCTGTACGTGTCCCAAAATAACACCATCGACTTTTATCACACATTTAAGAATATATATAAAGTCTTAATTATTAGACAGTTATTAGAAAAGACAGAAGACACTATTGTTATATAAATGCTGTAATATTCAGAAGACAATTTTTATCTGTCTGACACAAAACAAGTTTGTTCACCATGGCCTGTAGGCAAAGAAAGAAGTGTGGCCTACAGTGCATGTCATAAGAGCCAACTAAGAAAGATTGGTGTGAGGCTGGCAGCATCATCTCTTGAAAATGTAAACCTTTCCCAAGGAGGGTCAGGTGTCATGTGGTTCTGGGCCTATGGTCTATTGGGAATTAAAGGCACAAAAAAAGATACTAAGATGTGATAATAAATGCTTCTTGTCTAATGAAAAATGCAGAAATCACTTGTAAAATATGGTAACACTCAAAAGGTTGTTCACTTACTCTCTGAGTTCCTTCTCCCTCTTCATTGCTGTCTTTAGTTCTTTTAATCTTTCTTCCATTTTACGGTTGTCTTCCTCCAATCGCTTTGTTTGATCACGAGCATTCTTCAAGTTTCTAATTTGATAAAGGAATTCAAACAAGAAGAAAATGTAAATGTGCATAATTTATAAAAGTAAAAAAGCTTAGGTAGCACTGCGACTAGCAGGATTGGTTGTCATATGTTTATCAAATCTGTTTCAAGGCAGGGTTATTTGTTTCCTCTACTTACCTGGGATGCTAGGTTGACCCAGTCTAAGGTAGGAACCAGGACACTTTCTGAGAAATGAGGGAGTTGACGTAATGCTGACCACATCATCAAATGAGTACCTTCTTCTTCTTGTGTCCTACAGCTTAAGTCATACAGCATTGCAGAGAGGAGCTAGATGTAGTTTCCTGTCTTTTGCTATTTGCATAGCTAGTATTAATCTCATATAGCCTTTCTGTAGTCTCTTTTACTCCCTCCACCCATCTCTTTCTTGGTCAGTCTCTTGGCTTGTAGCCTGCTGTTCTCATGTAGTAAGCTGCTGGCTGATTTTGTTCCCTTTTGACCAGAAGACCAAACCATTTGATTCTTTGATGTCCTATGAAATCACCACCAGTACTGTACCTATTGATTTAAAATGTGAGGCTACGAACCATATGCCCAAAACAGGTTTAAATTTCAAATGTTATTTCTCAAAGTTTCTCCCCCCCCCCCATCCCTCTCTCTCATCCCTTTCACCCCCCCCCCCCTTTTTTTCCATATCTCTCGCTCTCTCTCTCTCTCTCTCTCTCTAATTTAGTAACAAATAATAATTGTTCACCCTTCCTTGGAAGAGTAACAAGTGAAAATTAGTAGCCTGCCACTGACCCATAGAAAACCCAAGCCAACCCCCATCTTCAAGCGATGCACACTGGAAAACTGAGAATGCTGCCGCCAGGTTTCAGGCTCACCAGGTGGGAAAGGATCCATCTGGTTAAGTACTCCCTAAAATTGCGACAGGCCCAGCAAGCCTGTTGGGGATTAAGTTTTGCTTGAAAAAACAATAAGAAGAGAAACTGGACTAATAACGGACAGATGGAATATGCAAGGTTATAAATACCAGCATCTACATAGCAAATACTGGCTCACACCCAAGTCCTCTCCAAAACCTGATGCTGAAAGGCAGTACAGAATAGAAAAGGAGAAAGAAGAAGAATGCTTTAAACTAATTGAATTTATCTGCATGGAACTAAAGATAGTTTTAAAACTGACCAAGACTCCCAGGTCAATCCAGCCTAACAAGAGAATTAAGAGAATGTCCTGGATAGTAAAGATGGCCAACATCATGCTGACCACATCACCCATCAAGTACCTGTTGGTCTATAATGTCTTAACCTGCACAGAACTGCAGGTTACACATCCAGGTGTAGCCATTATGGGTGCACTAATTTACATCTTCTTTGGCAGTTGAGCGGGCTATCTGGGATCCGTCTTGTTGGTCTGGGGTTCAGACTGAGATTTTTTTTAAATCTTCGAATGGTATGGTAGACCTTTAGGTAGCAGTCCAGGAGAGGTGAGGTGAAAAGGGGAGTGGAGGGGGAGGGTGGTTAACAAACGGGTCGATCGACCAGGGATCTAATGTGCTTGAAGCCATACAAATAATCTTTTTTTTTGTTTTTTTGGTTATTTATAGAGGTAGCTGCAGTTGAATGCAAAAGAAAGATGGGAGGCAGAGGTGAAGATGCTGGACCTGATGTGAGGTGTACTAGGACCAGGGCTCATACTGGTCAAGACCTGTCCACACTTCTTTGCAGTCACCCTAGAAATGGTTGTGGCGTCCCGTGGCTTAGGCTTTGCGAGTCCGACTCATAATCCAACATACCGCGATCGAAACCCACTGCAGGCTGTGTGGATTTTATCGTGGTATGGGACGTTGCAGGTCAACCCAGCCTCAATTGGGTACCAGGATGGCTGTCCTGGGGAAGTAAAGATGGCTGGCGTAATGCGGACCACATTACCCACCGTGTGCCGATTGGTCTGTAAAAATATGGGTGCTCTTTCCATATGCCCGATGCCCCTAAAAGGCGTGAAAAGGGATCTTTACTTATTTACTTTTTTTTTACTAGAAATAGTTTCTCAAAAGAAATATTGACCAATGCAAATAAGATAAATGCAAAGTCGGAATGCATCTGCCTGACAGACAAGAAACCAACAATCTGCTCATAAATAAGCCAAATCTGCTTTAAAAAAAAAGTAGACCCAACACTCAAGTCATGGAACAAGATCAGAAGTGGATGAATTACCAGAACTTTCTGTTGGTGTTTACAGTGAAGAAAATGAAGAAGAATGCAAATAGTAGGATGGCTCAGTGAGGGTTGCTGAAATGGAAAATAAAGGCACAAGAAGAATACTACAATGTGCACTAAACTTACTGTGCTCGTAGTTTTAAAGAGAGATCTTCTTTTCTTGTTGATGTATTAAATCCAGGCATGTTGTTTTCTATCCTATGGAGGGAACTACTTTCCCCATTCAATTATTTCTGTCAACATAAACAAAGTCACATCTTATGATATATTATAAGAAGCCAGGTTACATAGTAACTAGCTTCTCACCTGCCAGCCCGAAGGTCTACAGTTCAAGTCTGCATCAAGGCAGATTAACAACAATAAAAATTACCTTGGTGTAAAGGCAGCCGGTGTGGTATTGAAACACATCACCCATCGAATGCTGATAGGTCTATAAAAATATTAGTCTAGCATGGTGAGGACAGCTTTCCTGTGGACGGCAGACAAAAAAAAAAAAACATAGAGATGTGAATGTGACCTCAGGAAACCTGGAGAAGGACAGTATAAAGGGAAATAAAGGAGTGCAACATGGGTATCAAGGAACAGAAAAGCAGCAGACTGGCAACAACAGAGATCACTTGTAAATGCCTTATGTATCAACAGCAAGAGGATACAGACAGACAGACGGATATACAGACAGACAGATCATATACCAGATGTACCACCTTTTTACTTTATTATCGTAAATAATAACAGATAGTTTAAATGCAGGCGAATTAACTATCATCATTAATTCTTTCAGTCCTAAGAAACGCATTATATGTTCATATGATCCTACATAGAAACGCGTCCAATGAACCCGAGCCACTTTTTGTTCTTGCCGACCTGCTTCTGCGAGTGTGCCTCCCCGCCGAGCGTACCCCCTGCGCCGCGTGTGGCGGCGTGGATGGGGACTAAACTAGGTGCCTGGGACTCACGAGTACAGTAACTGGAGGAAGTTGTAGGAGATGCGGTAGCTGCCGCTCGTAAGTCCCAGCCATCTAGTTTAGTCCCCAACCGTGCTGTGCGTAGCGGCACGGGGGATACGCTCGACAGTGATGCACACTCGCAGAAGCAGGTCGGCAAGTAACGTATCGTCGAGACTCTGTCAGAGCATTCGTTTCGTTATCCGGAGCTGGCACATATATTTTTAATAGAACTGACCCGCATTCTGATATTTTTGGATATTTATGGCAAGAAATTGGCCAATTTAGCTCTCTTTCGAACGCCATCATATTAAAACCGCCATTTTGGGGGTTGATTCAAAGGAGAGCCAATTCAAGTGTGGCTTATAAGTTATAGTCATGCACAAAACTGGGAAAAAAATATATAGAAGACTCTCAACTCAGGATCTCTTTTTCTTACAAAGAAATAACACTAACTAATAACAGTCAATCCTTATTTCAACCAGGTTTAGTCTAAAATCCTGATATTCGGAATCCAAGTCACTTACAAACGATAATTATTATATTATTAAAGGAAAAACATGGATAGCAACCGCACCTGTGAGTTTATACAACTTTATATACAAATAATTTCCATCTCAGCTAATACAGTATGAAAGAAATATAATTTATACACATAATATACCATAGTCTATGTAGTTAGGATGGATAATAGTGCTTTTAAAGAGCAAACACCGATAAGTTTTCGGCCAAAGGAAACAGTTTCTCTAACCGGCGGCGTCCCCAGTGATGGAATAAACAATCGGACATATCGTCTCGCGGATTGCGAGATTACAATGTACCACATTTACCGACAATAAACGCAAACTACAATACGCTCTCCAACATTTGATTTATAGGTTATTTTATGACAGTTTAGTAGTTAGTTAGTTAGTTATTTGGTTAGTTAGTTAGTTAGTTAGTTAGTTAGTTAGTTAGTTAGTTAGTTAGTTAGTTAGTTAGTTAGTTAGTTAGTTAGTTAGTTAGTTAGTTAGTTAGTTAGTTAGTTAGTTAGTTAGTTAGTTAGTTAGTTAGTTAGTTGGGTTATCATCACTGAATTCCGGACATGTTCACAGGTGCTTAGAGGTAGCTGCAGTTGAATGCAAACGACGGAAGGCAGAGGTGAAGATGCTGGACCTCAAGTGTGGTGTAATAGGACCAGGGTTCAAACTGGTCAAGACCTGTCTCCACACTTCTTCGATTTCAGTAATACCAGTTCTATATTGATTAACAAGTCCTCTGATGTGCCTAGTGAGCGTCTCGTTTTTTCCTATGCCGATCTCAATTCCCAAGCCTATCACGGGTTTGTCTCGACAGGGTAATCTGTCGCCATCGGACGCCGAATACAACCTGAGTGGAGTCTTAAACTCACGTGCATATATTCCATTGCATGGTTCAGATCCTATTCAGATAATAACTGACTACAAGTTACTGTTTAAACTATTCTGTAGTGCCACAATATAACTGCTTGTATGCGCATGAAATATTAGGGCTTGTGTTCCTTGAGGCGCCCCCCCCCCCCTTTCCGTCCTCCCATTCCCTTTTTTGGTAAGGGGACTTATAAACTTAAAAGTCCTTTAGCCATACATAGAAATGATCTTTTAAAGTATGCGTTTGTGCATTTTATACTATGAGTGAGCAGCGTTCAACCCCATCAAGACCGCACAACGAGCTACCAACATCAGTTGACACAAAGTACCACCATTCGGATGGGGATCATCCGGGCACAAATCCCAGAAACCCCCTTCAATCGTTATGTTATATTGGGACCCCTAACAAGCCGGGTGGGACTTTCAAAAAACGAAAATTGCGCCCCATATTGGGGCGTAACTAATTTACGATTTATTATTTCAAGTATATATATAATTATATTCTTTCTTTCTTTTTGTACCCCACCAGGACATCACACAAGCGATAAACATCCGGTGACAGAAAGCGCCTAATTGTGGATGAAGATCACCGTGGAGAGGTCCCAGAAACCCCTTTCAGCCGTTATGGTCACAACTGTAATCTAGTTGTATCTGAGACCCCGGCAAAAGCCAGGGTGGGACTTCAAATAACGAAAAATTGTATCCCACAAAGGGATACATTAATTTATTATATTATTTGTCATACCTACCTACCTACCTACCTACCTACCTACCTACCTACCTACCTACCTACCTACCTACCTACCTACCTACTTACCTACATACCTACTCACCTACATACATACCTACATACCTACACACACACACGCACGCACGCACATACATACATACATACATACATACATACATACATACATACATACATACATACATACATACATACATACATACATACATACATACATACATACATACATACATACATACATACATACATACATACATACATACATATACACACATACAGAGAGGGGTGGCGGTAGGACTCCCAATGTTTGCCTAGAAAATCTGTTCGGCGAGGTGGAAGGGGGTGTGGGTGCCTCCCAATATTTTTTTCCTGGCGGTGCGCCCGAATGTGCTATATTGCTCAAAGGTTGCACTGTGTTTCTGGGATTTGTACCTGCTTGATTCCCATTCTTGAATCCCAGATACATCGTTCAACCTCTAAATGACTTTTTTAAGGGCACCTATATGGTTACACCAGCCTGGTGTAACCTGCAGTCATATGCGGATACGAACGCACGGCTAGAAAGTTCGAGTGCCAAGTCTGCAGACATATATCCAAGAGATTCCCATCTTCTTCTTTTGATAAAATTTGCCAGTGATAAACATTTTGTTTTCTTCCTCAGTGCACTACTTCACGAGAGATCTTGTTTGGTAAAAATAATCGCAGGATTCTACTTGGACATTTATTTTGACTAGTCTCTAGTTTCTGTGTAATTAGTGCTATCGTTGCCCACAACTCACTGTTGTATAATAGTATTCCTAAAATGTAGCTCTTCTGTAATCTGAGTTTTGTCTTGAAACTAAGTCACGCGGACTTCCAGCACAGTAAATGCTTGGTTTGCTTTGCATATTATTGATGTGACTCCTTTTCAGAGTTGAGCTGAGTTGAGTCAAAAATTTACACCACAGCACTCGGAGCATTCCCATGCTTGCTCCGTCCTTATCTTCAGCAACCAGCGCAGAATTCCAATACTGATGGTGCCGGTCACAATCTCGGTATATGTCCGTCTTACCTTTCCTCTGAGTGTAGTGAGATGGCCAGACCCTCTGGTTACACCCAGGCGCCTCATTCTCTGAAGGCCATAATAGTCTTGTTTCTCTAATAATTCCGCTGCTTGTTCCCAAAGGTCCTTGATCACATCTGCCTTGTCATGCATGAATTCCCCACCCCATGGTGCAGATCCAGGCAATCTGTCTGCCTGTTCATTGCCCACTACGCCAACATGGCCTAGAGACATGATCCAAAGTATGCTCACTACCCGTGACCTTCGCAGTGAAGCTTGCCACTCTGCTCGAAGCATCCTTGTAATCCATTTCAGAATCCTTATCTAGAGTAACTTTACTTCTGAGGCATATACATTCTTCTACTTTAAAAAAAAAAATACTTCACAGTCTGGGATAATAGCACTTTCAGTACAAGGCATCTACATAACAGTGTGCTCACATTTCTCCCAGATTCACGGTATCTACCATGAAATCAAGGCCGAAGAGTTGCGATATCCATAGTACTGAGCCAAAGGGTTAACAACTCATGGTTTCTGGATATTAAAAAATGTACATAAGGATTTGATCTTAAGAACGTTATTTTATCTTTCACCAGTCAACAAAGACAGATTGCATTGAATATTATTCAGGTTGTGAAATGCAATTTTTGCTTGAGCTATTCTACATTTAATTTTTTTTTCAAATACATATTCTAAATGCTGTTATCAGTATACCAATGGACTTGAATGTATCGGCTTGTTTCAGACTTGTCCCTTTTACTTTGATGTGTCATTAACATTCATAATTTTTTTTATATTTAATTTGTGTTTTTATCGAACATTAAAAACATCAATTAAATGTAGGAAACTGAGGCTTTGGTATTTTTTTTGAAACCAAAATAGTAAAAACAAATTCTTAATGACCTATTTAATAGTTGGTGTATTGGTAATGGCAGATAAAATTTCAAATTTCTAGGGTTACCAAAGTGTATTGCTTGTTTCTAGTTTGACCAGATGAGTTTGTGTTTAATAGTTCGTAATTGTTTTCTGAAAAGCTCATACCATAGTTTAAATTAGCTGAACG